TTTAAAATGCGAATGCAGGTGGTAGTAGTGCCGATGGACCCGTGGAGCCGAGGAGTAGCCACCGACGGATCCTTCGACTTCGTCACCTTCGACCATTACGTCATGGCACGTGAGCGAAGGACTCTCATCTCGCCGTGAAAACGCCGTTCTCGCCTCACCCCGACCATCCCCGAACAGCGAACGGAGAATTCCTGGTCTACGCCGGATCCGTGGATTCGACCGGGAACGCGACGCTGCAGTTCCTCTGGCTGTCCGAGTCGGATGCCTCCATCCACCAGAGGAATTCCATCGTCTGCGACATCGAGAGCGGCGCTTACTTCGTGCAGAAGCGACATCTGCATCCCGAGTGAGTCAATTTTTTTGGCGGTTCTGAGACGCTGAATTCACGTATCCCAGCCCATGCCGATAAACATTTCATCGATCGGGCTCTTATGAGCGCTCGAAGATGGAAATGACGAGTTTCTTAAACTTTTCGATTAGTTTCTCATCTTGTCTCGAGGCGGCATCCCAGCAGTCCTTTTGCCCTTCATTCTTAGTCGTGTTCCAGTTTCTTCGCTTCTAAAAAGAACTTTGCTTCGGGTGTGTCTAATTTTTCGAGAGGAGATGGATCCAGATGCGATGAAAGACTCCGCCCTAATCATCTCTTTAGACACGTAACTCTTGGGAAAAGAACTATTAAGCTAATAGAAGCATCAAAACGAGTTCTAGTCGGCTGCATGATGGTCCCTGGCACGGCGGCACGGCTGTATTTTCACTTATTTAAATAGTGGGCGATTTGAAATGTACAACGAAAGTTTCTACGATATTCGTGGTTGGCTGAATCCTGAAAGAAAAAGTCTTTAAAGGTTTTAATGCTGCTTGGGAACGTTCAATTCGCGTCCTTGAACGTTCAGGAAACGAATAACTTGAACGTTCTTGGTCTCTAAACTTTGGGCACCAGAACAGCCAATAGAACGTATCTGAGGACGTTCGTTGCACGTTGGCTGTGCTGCGACGTGCGTCGAACATTACTTGAATACTCCACTGCTGGTTGGGGTGTTACCATTTTAACGGTTATGATAATAATGCATGATGTTATTGATCTCGACGAAGCGGATGAGGACATATCTAACATACGAGGTACAAGCATTTCGTCTCGCTTCAGATTGCTCCTTTATTCAGCTTATCATTCCAACCTCGCAACAGAATCAAGTTTTGCTCGCAATGATGGACTCAACCAGTTAATTCCCCCACTCAGCGAGCAGCTGACGACGTACCACTCGCTGAAGGCAGCCCTGGTGGGCGGGCAGCACGTGACGTTCGTGGGATTCGGGGAGAGATGCGAGAACCCCTTCCCGGGATTCCGGGTCACTCAGGCTGGGACCTACCATCTTCAGTTCTACGTCGAAGTCGGTCTGTCCTTTTTTTAATTTTTTTTATTACTATCTTTCCATTTATACGTGTACTTCTGGGTTTCTACGCACGATCAGAAATTCCAGCCTAGTTTCATTTTAAACTTAAATCGCAGCGAATCACGAACTATAAATTAGATCAGTTCAGCTCGCATTATCTGATATGATGGACGTCGTGCCGATGACTTTCACAAAAAAATTTGGTGGAATCCAATATGCTCTAATGTATACTGTGCTCCTCTCTTAACCCTTCATTCCGCTGGTGAGTAATAATTTATTATTGGATTTTAACGGAATGGAAGACCCGTTCGGAGAAGAATACTTGGTCTTATTATATGACACGGTGGTGGAGATGGAACCGGGAACCGTGAACTTGTTCGTGACCCTGCTCTACGTGGACACGACCGACTCGGTTTCGGTTTTCACCGTGGCATACGACCTCGAGACTTGGGAGAACGAGTATCCTTACCCGGGGCCTCTCGTCTGTGACCTGGACATCTCTGCGCAGTTCTTCAGGGTCAAAGGTATGTCTCTTGGTCGTGGTGAACGATTCGCATGATTTGAGATGAGGATTCGGACGTTCGCGAATTTCGTGATCTAGAACTTCAGACTGTAAATAGGCGCGAGATGTGGTGGCTTTCGAGCTTTTAATGTGGCTGCTTTGAATGGTGTTTCGAATCGGAGGCGAAGAGCCCAACTGTCGACGCTAAGTGATGATGCCCAAAGATAAGAATGGGAAAAACCTAAGATCCCAGTGTTTCTCATCGACCGACGATGGTTCTAACAACATACTCCCTTATGATGTCGTTTCACGATGATAAGTAGCTCCATGCAGCCATCAGAACTTGTGATTAAATATCGTAACGTGAATGTAAGGAAGTGGCTGCCTTCCCTAGACATAAAACTTCGAGGCACGACCATCATCCGACGACGAGAACCGTTTTTCGAGGTTGGATTTTTTTCCCTCATAGATCTTCCTGCTTTCTTCTCGTTTCACGAATTCCGTTTCCTCACTCGATTCCAGATGAAACATACGAGACGTTCACCGACTATGTGGATGTGGAGCGGGCCCTGCTGCGAGGCCAGGAGTTGCAGGCCGTCCTCCTCTTCAGCGGCTGCGAGGAGATCTCGCGGGAATCGGTAAATGGGGAGGCAAGGGGAGGCAAAGCCTGATCGTCCCTAACTTCGCTCTTCCCCTTTCGTTTTTCCCTCTCTTTAATCACGGACTTGGGTGTGGAGCCGATGAGACTTTCGTGCCATGTTCTGATCTCTGCGAGTACGAATTTTCATCGGATTTGGAGATGATTTTAAGGAGTTAATTTTACTGTATTATCCAAACTAAAAGATCTTACGATGCATAACTGTGAGCCTTGAGACTTTCGTGCCATGTTCTGATCTCTACGAGTACGAATTTTCATCGGATTTGGAGATGATTTTAAGGAGTTAATTTTACTGTATTATCCAAACTAAAAGATCTTACGATGCATAACTGTGAGCCTTGAATTTTTTTTGTCTTTACGACCTTAGACGTATTTGTGCAACGGTTAAAGTAGGCATTTTAACCTTGAGAAAGCATTAACTCACAAGCAGTGGATTCTTACATGTTCGCTGAAACCGGAGGATTTCGTGATTTTTCCGCAGACGCGACAGGAGAATCCGTTCCCGGAATGGAGTGCCATCGGAGTTCGGCTGTTGGAATGGGGACAGTTTGCCGACGAGACTGGGCACAGGATCACCTTTTCTCAATCTGTCGTTGCTGGTATGTTCCTACGTTTTCCAAATGCTGGCTTATTTTTTTTTAGTACTTGAAATGAACCTTGTGTGTTCATCGAACGACCAGGGGGGATGCTTTAACATGGGAATTCTTTCAAGGTGCAATCAAAATCTCATGTGTAACTTCTAAGTTTCGCATCATTTTGCTTTCTTTTGAATTTCTTTTTTTTTCGAAACCAGTGCGATAGCATGAAAGTAAGGCATGTCACAGAGATAATGCATTGTATGGATATTTACACACACAGATAAGTTCTGCTTTGCAAGGCATACGAAGCATTAGCTCTGAAGTGCTAGTTTTTTCAACTGTGCAATAAGCGGCTCTCATCCAGATGATGGGTTTGATTTATAGTTTTTCCTTTTACTTACCCATCTTCTGCCATCTTCCGATGTTTCGAGACGATTCATCAAGTTATCATCATGTAGAAACCTTTCAGGACTTGGGCGAATTCCCCTTCTTCCTTTTCTGGCCCTTGCAGTTGAGTAGAATCCGCTGCCGGCTCCCCTGAGCTTCAAAGGAGATAAGTGCGCTGACCTATCGTAATAAATGACATAAGGAAGATGAAATCTTTCGGCGTTGGCTTCTGGAGGGAAGAAGGAATTGTAAGAGATGATAGGAAGCAATCTCGAAGCAGGCGAGCACACGGACCACGAGAGCCTTTTCTGCATTTCCCGGCTATTCGACATGCGGTTTTAAACGCTTTCGAACGAAATTTCGATTTGCCAATGCAGAGTTTGGAGTGACGCCATTTCCACGGTTCGTTGCACAGCTTTAGGATTTTTGGAACGGTGAAACCAACCAAAAATCGAATTCATCCACAATTTTGACTGAAATCCATTATTATTTTGGAACGAACTCGACCATTCTCGTTCCGATTCCGGTATCAGTTCCACCTCTACGCAAAACTTAATCGTGCAAATCCTTGTAGTTTCCCAGACTCTTAGGGAATCCAATCCATACATTGAAAATCACACTGCCAGCGTTCACCCGAACAAAGCACAGGACTTTTTTGGATCGCAACAGGCCGATAATTTCGGAGAGCACTGAATCTCGCAGGTCCGGGATTATGGATCCTTCAGGAGTATTCCCTGCGAGACACGGAGGAGATGACCATCACCCTGTCCGTCGTGGATTCCATCTCTGGGAACGTGACGGCGCAGATCCTCTATTCCTGTCCCCTCACCACTGGTCTCCTCATGACTGCTCCCACCAGGCCCAGGTCGGGTCTTCTCGTTCGAACGGAGAGGAAGGAGGCAGGTGTAGATCTGGGGGAGACCGTTCAACAAAATCGGGGTCGACGTTCATTAAGTTGTCTTGTAGCACGGGATTTTCATAAAGTGCGTGTTAAAATGAAATTCTCGGATGATATATCTATATATATATAATTTTTTTTAAAGGAAAATTTATCATTAAATATGAAATTAATATGTACTGGATTTTTCTGGATTCGTTAATTGTATCTATCCAGCTATCTAGGCGCTAAAATCATAACTCTGGATTTCCGTTATGATACCGATGGATTGAGCAATCTGAGACAATCCTGAGAAATCCATTCTTCGCGGTTGCGGAGATTTCCGAACGGAGGTTGCCTTTCGTGAATCCGTGGAATCCTTTTGCAGTCAGCCTCTGGTGGATTTCTTCGCGGTGTACGAGGGGATGCTGACGGGGAGGCCCTTGGAGGTGAGAATGGACTTTCGAGATTGCTCGGACCCAACGGGGAGCGGGCTCGACTTCACGGGGACCATCGCCGGGGCTTACCTCAGGGACACATACCTCGAGTCGCCTGACTGTACGTGCTGGATGATCTGTTGCCTTGCAAATGAACCAGGCACTTGAGTGGGAACAGGATTCCTTTATGATGCTGCAAAACTAAAAGTAACGTTTTTTAATGCACATCATTCGAAAGAAAGTGCCGCTGCCATCAACTTGANACGAGAACCGTTTTTCGAGGTTGGATTTTTTTCCCTCATAGATCTTCGTGCTTTCTTCTCGTTTCACGAATTCCGTTTCCTCACTCGATTCCAGAGGAAACATACGAGACGTTCACCGACTATGTGGATGTGGAGCGGGCCCTGCTGCGAGGCCAGGAGTTGCAGGCCGTCCTCCTCTTCAGCGGCTGCGAGGAGATCTCGCGGGAATCGGTAAATGGGGAGGCAAGGGGAGGCAAAGCCTGATCGTCCCTAACTTCGCTCTTCCCCTTTCGTTTTTCCCTCTCTTTAATCACGGACTTGGGTGTGGAGCCGATGAGACTTTCGTGCCATGTTCTGATCTCTGCGAGTACGAATTTTCATCGGATTTGGAGAGGATTTTAAGGAGTTAATTTTACTGTATTATCCAAACTAAAAGATCTTACGATGCATAACTGTGAGCCTCGAATTTTTTTGTCGTTACGACCTTGGACGTATTTGTGCGACGGTTAAAGTAGGCATTTTAACCTTGAGAAAGCATTAACTCACAAGCAGTGGATTCATACATGTTCGCTGAAACCGGAAGATTTCGTGATTTTTCCGCAGACGCGACAGGAGAATCCGTATTCGGAATGGACTGCCATCGGAGTTCGGCTGTTGGAATGGGGACAGTTTGCCGACGAGACTGGGCACAGGATCACCTTTTCTCAATCTGTCATTGCTGGTATGTTCCAACGTTTTCCAAATGCTGGCTTATTTTTTTTTAGCACTTGAGATGAACCTTGTGTGTTCATCGAACGACCAGGGGGGATGCTTTAACATGGGAATTCTTTCAAGGTGCAATCAAAACTTCATGTGTAACTTCTAAGCTTCGCATCATTTTGCTTTCTTTCGAATTTCTTTTTTTTTCGAAACCAGTGCGATAGCATGAAAGTAAGACATGTCACAGAGATAATGTATTGTATGGATATTTACACACACAGACAAGTTCTGCTTTGCAAGACATACGAAGCATTAGCTCTGAAGTGCTAGTTTTATCAAATGTGCAATAAGCGGCTCTCATCTAGATGATGGGTCTGATTTATAGTTTTTCCTTTTACTTACCCATCTTCTGCCATCTTCCGATGTTTCGAGACGATTCATCAAGTTATCATCATGTAGAAACCTTTCAGGACTTTGGCGAATTCCCCTTCTTCCTTTTCTGGCCCTTGCAGTTGAGTAGAATCCGCTGCCGGCTCCCCTGAGCTTCAAAGGAGATAAGTGCGCTGACCTATCGTAATAAATGACAGAACGAAGATGAAATCTTTCGGCGTTGGCTTCTGGAGGGAAGAAGGAATTGTAAGAGATGATAGGAAGCAATCTCGAAGCAGGGGAGCACACGGACCACGAGAGCCTTTTCTGCATTTCCTGACTATTCGACATGCGGTTTTAAACGCTTTCGATCGAAATTTCGATTTGCCAAGGCAGAGTTTGGAGTGACGCCATTTCCACGGTTCATTGCACAGCTTTAGGATTTTTGGAACGGTGAAACCAACCAAAAATCGAATTAATCCACAATTTTGACTGAAATCCATTATTATTTTGGAACGAACTCGACCATTCTCGTTCCGATTCCGGTATCAGTTCCACCTCTACGCAAAACTTAATCGTGCAAATCCTTGCAGTTTCCCAGACTCTTAGGGAATGCAATCCATACAGTGAAAATCACACTGCCAGCGTTCACCCGAACAAAGCACAGGACTTTTTTGGATCGCAACAGGCCGATAACTTCGGAGAGAGCACTGAATCTCGCAGGTCCGGGATTATGGATCCTTCAGGAGTATTCCCTGCGAGACACGGAGGAGATGACCCTCACCCTGTCCGTCGTGGATTCCATCTCTGGGAACGTGACGGCGCTGCTCCTCTATTCCTGTCCCCTCACCACTGGTCTCCTCATGACTGCTCCCACCAGGCCCAGGTCGGGTCTTCTCGTTCGAACGGAGAGGAAGGAGGCAGGTGTAGATCTGGGGGAGACCGTTCAACAAAATCGGGGTCGACGTTCATTAAGTTGTCTTGTAGCACGGGATTTTCATAAAGTGCGTGTTAAAATGAAATTCTCGGATGATATATATATATATATATATATATATTTTTTTTAAAGGAAATTTTATCATTAAAAATGAAATTAATAGGTAATGGATTTTTCTGGATTCGTTAATTGTATCTATCCAGCTATCTAGGCGCTAAAATCATAACTCTGGATTTCCGTTATGATACCGATGGATTGAGCAATCTGAGACAATCCTGAGAAATCCATTCTTCGCGGTTGCGGAGATTTCCGAACGGAGGTTGCCTTTCGTGAATCCGTGGAATCCTTTTGCAGTCAGCCTCTGGTGGATTTCTTCGCGGTGTACGAGGGGATGCTGACGGGGAGGCACTTGGAGGTGAGAATGGACTTCCGAGATTGCTCGGACCCAACGGGGAGCGGGCTCGACTTCACGGGGACCATCGCCGGGGCTTACCTCAGGGACACATACCTCGAGTCGCCTGACTGTACGTGCTGGATGATCTGTGGCCTTGCAAATGAACCAGGCACTTGAGTGGGAACAGGATTCCTTTATGATGCTGCAAAACTAAAAGTAACGTTTTTTAATGCACATCATTCGAAAGAAAGTGCCGCTGCCATCAACTTGAATGCCAACAGTGATTTGAAAAAAAGTGATATGTGATAAACTTCACGGTTTTATTGTTCGTAAATATACCGTTTGAAACGGTAAGAGATAACACTGTGAAACATATTATTTACTATAAAAAAATATTGCAATAGCTCTAATTCAAAGGCTTTGTATATGTTGGAAGGGAAGTACAGGAGAGTAGACATTCTAGTTTGATCAGTGGTCTATTATGTTCAAAGTGAAAAACCAACTGCAAGGACATTTTCTTTTCCTTCCTGTGAATCAGCGCCGACCTCGAGCATCTACTCGACGGTGAACACCCTCGTGACGGACTGGACCGACGGGGAGGGCGTGGCATACCAGGCAGTCACGATGAGGATGAACAGGGATAACACCGTCGTTTTGTATCCGAGCTATTACACCGACGTCGATGGGGTTTGGACGAACGTTTTTGGGGATGATTTTTACCTGGAATGCGCGTTCGGGACTGGGTTCTTCGTCTTCGGTTCTTCTCTCGAGTGAGGTTGGATCGGGCTGAATGTAGACGTTGAAGTCCACGATCCGAGGTACAATAAAGCTACTTTGCGAAGAGTTTTAGATGCGATAGAAGAAGTTTCCTTCCGTTGAAAATTCTTGCCCGATTTTTCCAGAATCCTCCCACCGATATAAGGGCATTAAGAGGCGAAATTAGTATGGAGAGGGACTTTGGAACTTAGAGCTTTTGTGCGCTAATTATCCATAAATGGACATATATTTTGCTACAAACGATCGGTCAATGGCTGTCTTTGGTATAGCTCAAAGCGGCAGGAACTCATTCGAATTTTGGCACAGTTCTGAAAAAAGAGAGATCAAAAGTCTGTTTCTTACATTTTTATTGTTATATAAAAACTGCTACAACTAGTGAACATGCAATTTTTAAAAGTGAAACCATTCCATTACAACTTTTTTTCAATATACGAAAATTGAACAAAAATAAAAAACGTTGTAATTAGATCTATAGATCGGTTGAGCACGACCGAACAGGGAGACCTTTAAATTATGAGAAATCCTTAATATGCAAATCAGACGACCTTTTGTATTTTGGATGGGTGCTAGGAAACGGGAAATGCATATTGACATGGCATTGCATGGGCACAAGTGGCAGATTGCCAGGACCCGTTCCAGCTATTTCGACGCCCTGTGCAAAGAGAATTCCAACGCCACCGCTCCCCCCCCCCCAAAGGAGTAGGGTCCATTCCTACCCTCCAAAAGGAAGCTGAAACTGAAGGCATTTCCACTTTCTGAAGTAAAACTGAGGGTGGCATCCATTATGGCTTCATACATTCAGTCACGTTTCGGCGCCCCTGGTGAATTCGCGCCCTGTGCAGGGGCACACGTGGCACATGCCTAAGGCCGGCCCCGCAGACAGCTTATGCCCGCTTAGGCATACAATGCCTCACAGCAGACAGATGCTCCTCGTAATTTATGTAGCACCGATCTGCCTCTTCTAATTTACTTTTATCGTCACGTCTACAATTCTGGTTCTAAAATGAAAGGGATTTACCGGATTAACAAGCATCATAGGTGATCTTTCTCCAACCACCACTCTTGAATACGTTTTCACATTTGAATATTAATTAGGACCTCGTATAACCATTCCAGCCAGGAACGAATTTCGCGTTGGACCCCAAATTTTTCATAGTCCATTTCAAATGGGGTGCGCACTCGTGGTATCACCAATTTTTGCCCTAATTGCTTCGTGGTAGTTTATTGCTAGGCAACAGGAAACACGTATCGATTAACATATCTTTCTTCTCGCTCGAGCTTGACTGTCGATACTTTCACGATGGACCCACAAGGTGAGGGAGTGCGTTTTATCGTGCAGCGTGATGGCAGAAATGGTAGAATCTCGTTCAATACGATTGGTGTACGTATAACATACAACGACGGTTTCAATATTTATACTTTAGAAATTTCTTGGATTGTAATATTTTGGATTAGCCAATCGGTGATAAGGCTGTTTGAAGCCATATATTTTTCCCCACTCTAGAGAGTGGAAGAGTCGGGGAAAAAAATCTCGATGGTGGTGGTGGTCCATTGTGAAAGTCCCACTCCCAGATTGTTCGACCAAAACAAAGCAACATCTTGCAATTTTTGAAGATTTGGCCTTTTGTTTAACTTCAGTTCGCTCCAGACGGAGAGTTAACATTTTTTTATATGGAATATTTTTTGAATGGCAAAGAACAATTGTGTATATTTTTTGCGCAAACTACAAGTTTTTTTAAAAGGCATATTGATGCTAATTTTTCCAGATTAAAACAATCTGGAATGCCACCCACAACAAAGCCTTGCATTCCCAAACTCTTGGTTTGTGGCGGGTCCCAAGTCCCTAAGGCAGAGGGCAGATTGTTTTAATGCTCGGTCGGCAATCCGAGTTTTAACTCTTGCCTGTCTTTTACAACAAGTACTTTTTTCTTCTTTAACACATTGACGACAATGCACGTTTTTCGTTTTTTCGCGCGTGGGACAGACCCATTTTTTCTCTTTTTTTGCGTACGACCCACCGGTGGGTCGTATTGTCCCATATGGTAGTCTTTTTTTCCTCGCTATAATAAAGGTTCTATTTTCCGTGTTTTTTTAATATAAATTTCGGGTTTTTTGTTATAAATCGTGAACATTAGTTGCGAAATTAATTTTTTTTCATTTAGTTTCCCCGTTTTCAGGTAAAATGTCTAAAGAATAGCACGAAGAGCTAAATGTCAGTTTTGACCGCCTTCTGATTGAAAGTGGAGAAGAGGAAGAGGCTGATGAGCACGACGACAGTGCCGGATGTTTGGTAGAGGTTGATGATAGTTCAGAAGAAGACGAGGAGGAAGATGATGATGATGACGACGACTTGGATTCATGGTCAGACACTGTTACTGTACATGATTCCTGGAACTTTGATGACAATTGGGGAACGGATCCAGGGATTTTGGCAGGATGTAAATATCCAATCGATTTTTATTGTCTGTTCTTGAACGTGGATGTTCACAACGTCATTGTCGACGAAACCAACAGATATGGACAAGAAAAAGATCAAGCGTGGGTGCCAACTGAAGCCGAAGAAATGAATAAATTTTTTGGCTTATGTCTTCAAATGGGTGTTGTCAAATTGCCAAAGCTGCGGGATTACTGGAGCTCCCGACCTGTATTTGGTGGTCACCCAATTGGCTCACGAGTCATGCCCAGAAACCGATTCGAGAAGCTTTTGGCGAACCTCCATTTAGCTGACAACGCCAGTTTTGATGGCTCTGACAGGCTGTACAAGATTTCGCCGTTTATCACTTTGTTCAATACCGCGTGTGAGAGAATCTACAGGCCCGGTAGAGACGTCTGTATTGATGAGTCGCTGGTTCCATTCCGAGGCAGAATCGTGTTTCGCCAATATATTCCAAACAAACGACACCGATACGGCATCAAGCTTTTCAAATTGTGTTCTAAGGGCGGCTACACGTACAAAACGATTGTGTACGCCGGAAAGGATACCTCCAGAATTGGCACTGTGGCCGAATCTGTGGTCATGAAGCTGATGGACGGTTTACTCGACAACGGAAGACGTCTCTTCACGGACAACTGGTACACAAGTATCCCGCTTGCTGAGAAATTGATCAAAAGAAAGACCCATATGATTGGCACCGTCAGAAGGAACAGAAGAGGCCTACCCAAACAGGTAACTGGAAAGAAGCTGAAAAGAGGTTCCGTGATGGCACAACAAAACAGACTTGGTGTCACCGTGCTGAAGTGGCGAGACGAGAGAGACATTCTGATGCTGTCGACCACTCACGACGACGCGATGAGTGAACAAGCAAAGCCAATGATTGTTCAAGATTACAATCAAGTGAAACTGTTCGTCGACACAAGCGATCAAATGGCTTCTTATTCGCCTTACCTCAGGAAAACGAGCAAATGGTACATTCGTTTATTCTTCCACTTGCTCACCCAGACGGCTCTTGTCAATGCTTGGAGGTTGTATAGCGACCATGTGCAGAAAATCAGACTGACTGATTTCATGATTGAAATAATTGAGTCTCTGCTCGACAACGAGAGATTATACACTCCACCTACCCGACACACTCTGGAAGAACTTGCTGGTCCCAAGGCTGTCTCGAGGAAAAGATGCACTGGATGCTACCGAGATTTGTCCAAGAAGGAGGGGATCTCGATTTGCTGACAAACATGCCCGGAAAGTCAACACCAGATGCTGTCAATGCCACAAGCATTTTTGCATTGATTGTTTCACCAAACATCATAAAAGGTGTTCAAAATTGTTTGTTTTTTGAAGAATGACAAATAAATATTGAAACCAGATTTAGCTTGCCCACGATGTTTACAGTATTATTGGGGGACTATTATCATCGATTAATTGCAAAAAATCGCGGGAAATTATTAAAAGCGCAGAAAAAATCAATTAAAACTGATACGACCCACCGGTGGGTCGTATTGTCCCACGCGGACAAACTGATACGACCCTTCGGTGGGTCGTATTGTCGTCAATGTGTTAAGAAATGCCACCAGATTGGAACCAAGAAAGGTCACCAATCATTTGTTTCGTAAAATAGACATCAGCTTGTGAAAACTGATCATTTTTATTTATTGATTTAGGAGTGCATGTGTTGATTCGCCCCTGAAGGAAATTCTGGTTCCCTCCTCCTTGGGTTCATCGCGATTTTCGGATGCAAAAGAAGAGGAAAACTAAAATAAATGCCGATTGTGGGGAGAGAGGGAGAATCCCAACGTCGCCATGGAAAAAAATTATCCTCCAAAATGCTAAATTGCATCACGGGTGACCGAAATGGCACGTCCCGGATGGTGAATTCCCATCAAGATCTTATAGAAAGGAAGAGGGAGAGATGCTGCCGAGTGTCGAGCGATGCCAACAATGCTTTCCGTGGAAGCAAGGTCGATTACACCACGAAGTTCCTTTGTCTGCGGATCCCTCATTTCCTCACAATTCCCCCCCTCTCTCCGATCGCTCGATCCTTCCTCGCCATTGGAGATGTTGCGGTTCTCATTTTCGCGACAGCACGATTCTCCGAAATTCACGTAACACCGCTTCATGACCGCAACTTCCCTGAATTTTTTTTCCCTAAACAAGAAATTACGCGCTTCTCAGGTTTGGAATCGACAGAAATTTTGGGATCCTAACCCTGGGGATTCGATTCGTATATTGCAAAGAAAAGATGAAGAGGGAAGACAAAATGTTAATTAACTATCATCAGAACGAAGTTCATTAATATGAGCCCAGGAACGTTCGTGATGTCATCTTCACTTTATCTTTCGAGTCTCTCAAACCAAAACCGTTCGAACGGGAGGTGAAAAAAAAGCAAAGAAGGAATCGCGAAATCAAAATCCTCGAGAAGGGGGAAGAGAGAAGGTGACACAGTATTCAGCGTCTCTATAGTATGGAAATGCACTTGATGTCAACATCCAGAGGAGATTTCCCAGAAGACCTTTGGTCACAAGAATGGAGGGGATCTCAGTATAAAAACCTCATCCCCTTCACGTGTCTACTCGCACTCTTCACCGTCTTTCTCTCCCTCACGTGTCTCTTCGTTCTTTTTTTCTCCTCGTCTTCGTGTCTGCTTGCAGCGGCATCAACATGGTCACAGCTTTAGTGAGTTTCCATCACGGAATCACCAAGAAAATATTTAGATTTATTTTCAAAATTTTGTCCTAAAGTCTTTCAACTCGACAATTCCATCACCAGAGTGACTAGTGGAGATGCTTTCCGACCAGGTGTAAAATAAGGGAGGTTTTTGAGCAGAATATCATAACTGTACAGGAAGTCCTCTTGTTGACCTCAATATACGAATACCACTTCGAGAAAAGTAATTGTAGCTCCAACGTGAGAGTTTTGAAATTCTTGCCTTAGTGCTTTTCCACTCTGGCAACCACTACAGGGTGGGCAAAAAAAAAACCGCACCCAGTTTTGCAGCTTGTATCTCAGGACCGGTAAGAGGAATGAGGCAGGACTCATTGAAAAGAGCATTCAATTGGCCTTAAAATGGAGCAACTTTTATTTCAACCTTAAAATTTTTAATGTTCATATAATCACTATTTTAAAAGTTCGAAAGAAAAAATGACGCTGCCATCCACGATTAGGAAACCCATTCATTATTTGATCCAGAGTATTGCTTCTCCTCACGCAAGGCCTTCAGCAGAGCTTCGTCTGATTCACTCAAAACCATCGTGAAGCTTTAAAGTTCATAGCAAACGAAAACTGCTCCAAAACAGCTTCTAACATGTAGCGGACAAGTTGCCGAACCGCGCTGCCTACCCAACGCTGAGAACGCCCGACAGTAAGGGAAACACAGAAAGCGCACCGATCATGGTCACGCCACGGCTGTAGCCGCGACAGCTTTCTTTTCGCAAGGGTTTTGGAAAAGCGACAGTTCAAAGCTTTCCTGTTATCTTTTGTCAACAAAAGGGGTATCGTTTTTTATCTGAAGTTTAATGAAGTGCCTTTTCTCATGAGGGCAAGGGGGTTCCTGAAATACAATCTGAGAAATTCGGTGCGGTTTTTTTGGCCCACCCTGTATATACTTTTTCCATGTAATCATCGATTCAAATACATGTTGGGGAAAAGATAGAGATCGATAGAAAATGCGTACTGCAAACGAATACTACTGTGGACATGTTATGCATTGAATGGCAGTTCAAGTGAAGCCTTGCACATTGGCGATCTTTGCTTGCCAAGATTCGATAGCATCAGAGAGGCATGACAGATTTAACAAGACACGATGTGCAAGCATTGGACAGTTCAGGCATCAAACGAATACGACATTTTATAACCTCGAATAAAGGAGGTTTAAAATGCTTGAAAAATGCTCAAGTTCAGAGAATCCGCGGTACGGATTCTCAGAAATTGGGCACGATCCGTCTGCCGGAATAGTTGGCACAGAAGATACCTGCAGTGTTAACCCTCTAACTCCTTCATGATGCTCGAAAATTCGCGCCAAAGTAGGTGGTAAGAGCAAAGTATACGCTTCATGTGTACTAAATTATGCCCACGGAACCCGTTGCATAATTGGTATTCTCTGTCGACTTGGGTTTCATGGTACTCTTTAGAGGACGCAAACATCGAATGAGATAGCATTGGTCTTAATTCAACTCTTTTCGTCGTCGTGTGACTAGATCTCGTTGGCACTGGTGCTGTGCTTGGCCCTGCCGGAAGCGAGCAGCCAGTATTACGCAGCCCGGTACGGACGGGCGTACTACCCTTATGGTGGCTTGGGAGCAATCGGCGGTCTCTATGGCGGAGGTCTGTACGGAGGAGGCTTGGGAGGACTCGGTGGTCTCTACGGCGGAGGTCTCTACGGAGGAGGCTTGGGAGGACTCGGTGGTCTCTACGGCGGAGGCCTCTACGGAGGAGGCTTGGGAGGAGGCTTGGGAGGACTCGGTGGTCTCTACGGAGGAGGCTTGGGAGGATTGTACGGTGGAGGACTTTATCAAGGCCTCGGAGGACTTTATGGCGGAGGCTTGGGAGGATTGTACGGAGGATACGGAGGATACGGGGGATACGGAGGAGGGCTCTATCAAGGCTTAGGAGGACTTTATGGTACCTCCCTCTACGGAGCAGGCCTCTACGGCGGCGGTGGCTTAGGAGGCTTAGGAGGCCTTTATGGTGGTGGCCTCTACGGCGGAGTGAATCCCCTTCTCGGTGGCCTATACGGGAATACTCTGCTACGTGGGGGTTATTACGGAAATGAGCCATATGAAAAGTGAGTTTGTTGTATAGACGTAATGTGGATCATGCACTGACGGGTCTTCTTAAACTGGACGGATTGCATTGTATACATTACATTATTTTTTTATCTGGGAGCGGAATAAAGACGGGAATGAGGTGTATGATGGGTATTTTTCAGTTTCCAAGATGGAATATTCCCGGGCATATTCACGACGTACAGCAACCTGGGATATGATATAGATCCCTACTACAGCGGCAGCACCTACACGTACAGGAGTGGATACTATTGAAGGAAAAGATAGTGATAAAAAGAAAGAGAAAATCGTTGTCCTCGACCTCAAACCCGAGACACTCACTGCGAGCTCTTCTCCCTTAGCATGGGAATCATGGGGCATTTTTTCGTGCCAAAAATTTCTGAATAAAAAAATTGGCGTTCCTCTTTGCCTGAGACGTGATAGAATCCCTTTGGATGACACCAGCAGAAATGATACGGGAACGAGACACCGGCGAAGGGAATCTCCAAAGGGGTGAATCAGGCCAAATTGGAGCAATTGCGTGTCTTCAGATTTTAAAATTCCATAACTCTGACAGTAATGAACTTATCTTTACGAAATTTGAAACATCAATAAGTCATGTCAGAGCAAATTCTTTCAATGTATTTTGGCAGTGTTTGAAGCATTTTTCTGGGACAAACCTCAGAAAAAATTGAATTTGTCCCACCCGTAACGCGTCTTTGCCTTAGTACAATCAGAACATCCTCTGCCAACCAAATACTTGTTCTTAGATTTTTTCAAACAAATGGCACAACATTACAAACATTCATTTTCAGAATGCACTTCAACTGCTATTAGAGGCAGAGTCTCTATAGCTTTGCCATGGAGTATAGGTGTCCTCAGAATTGGCACTTTTTTCTGTCCCACCTGTAACGGTAGTGTCATAAATAGGCGAATTGAAAATGATGAGCCGATATTTTTCACCTGAAGATGTCATCATACCTACGGGAATTACACATAATTGGAGTCATCATAGTTCTGAAATAATTTTGAAAATTAATTGCTTTTTGCTTTTACCTGCAAATGTCAAGCATAATTGTCCCACCCGTAACACATGTCTTTCATGCTTACCCTGTTCCAACTGACAGACACAACTGCCCATGCTGATGCGCATTGCTGCGCCATGATAGGAGACAGCTTGATAAAGGTTGCACATATAAGAGGCGACATTTCGAATCAAAATTGTCCCACCCGTAACGTCTTTTGTTAACTCTTTAAAAACATACTTAAACAACGTCATTAGATTTATTTTGAAAATTCGTGCTGTTTGGCATCGTGGATGATAGTAAAAATCCAAAATTGTAGCATCCTAAGTTAAACCGTTTCAGAGATATCATAAGACAACGTTTTTGACAAAATGGCCAAAATTATGCATACTACAAAATTTGCAACTCTTTATCTAAGAACCTTACCTTCAGTAAGGAATTAAATGCAAGTTCTTAAAAAGAGCTTTTTTTGATATGCAACATGTATATGATAATGCAATATTTAAAAATTAATCCAATTTTTAAACATCTGCAATGTTTATCCAACCTGTAAAATTATGAGTGATATAATTTTACCAAAATTGAAACTATGACCAAATTCGACCCAGAATGGCACATAGCGATCCATTTCGACCCACGGTGACCTTTTCATCTCATGGTGACCCATTTCGACCCATTGTGACCTTCCCTGAATCTCACTATTTAATAGTAGCCAGGGTTGACCAATAGAGATTCAAGGTGACCCATGGCAATCAAAAGTGACCTAACTTGGTCACTCTCTTTAAATTTTAGTAAACTTACATCGCCTTAGGAAAATGAGGCCTAAGTTGGATCGATTGGACAATTTGGGTCACCATGAGTCACCTGTAGTCACTGGATCAAATTTAGTCACTATCTCAATTTTAGCATTCTTCAGTCATCCTAGAATAATTAGGCCCAAGTTGGGTCGATCGAACAATTTGGGTCACCATGGGTCACCTTGGATCACTTTTGATCAACTATGGCAACTATTAAATAGTGAGATTCACGGTAGGTTACCATTGGTCGAAATGGGTCACCGTGGGCCGAAATGGATCAAAATGGGTCGCTATGGGCAACTGTGGGTCAAATGTGTCACTGCTTCTATTTTTGTAAAAGCATATATCACTTTCAGATAATTAGACCCATATTCAGTCAATTGGACAATTTAGGCCACTTTGGGTCACAATGGGTCACCCACTATCATTTTGGGCCACTTGGACCAGACTTTGAGATTAAGAGAACTCAGAAGTTTCAGAATCAACTCAGCTTGTAGGTTTCAGACAATCTAGGCCAGAAATGATCCCCATGTTATTCCCTATGATTCCTGACTTTTGTAACACCCTGTATATATTAGATTTGTGTCAGAAGTCTGTAATGTTTTTTAGCATCATCGTAATTTTTAGAAATTTAAAATTAAAAAAAGTCAAATTAAAAATTAAAAGAGTAAAACTTACAAGACTACAAGGCTGAAAATAAGGTGCCCCACCCGTAACAAAATTTGCTTGCTGTCGGGACACTTGCGCATTACTGTCAAATTGCCCTGCTTGTTTCCATTTATCTGCCAAATTTTATTTCAAAGAATGTGTGTCCCTGTCAAGAAAAATAGCTTTAATAATGACCAATAATTCATACCTGAATCTGAATGAGGAATGGAAGTAGATTTGATCAAAACATTTGTCCCACCCGTAACACTCCTAAGCCAGTATTTGAAAACCGCAATGAGGTAAAATTCAGTTGTACTCATGTTTCATGTGTACAGGCACATGAGACAGGAAATCCACTCCACAAGTAGCATTAAGCTGGGCTAATTCTACATGTGTCAGGAGGACTTAAAGCTTCTTGTTACGGGTGGGACATTTTCGGTGCAGTTGATTACTTCAAACAGCAATAAATATAATATGAAGGGTCCTGGAGCTCAACCGCGCTAGACTTATATGCAGGAGAATATCAGAGACAAACAGATTGACAGAAATTAAAAGTTTTACTGTAGAATTTTCCGTTTCTGTTTCCTTGGAATTGCTCCTTTTTGGCCTGATTCATTCAAAAGTGGAAATCCCCACTTGAGGGATTTTACGCTTCTCATGCTGTTATGTAATCGAGGGAGAACATCATCAGGTGTTCCGCCGCCTCTTCCTACGTAAACAACGGAATATAGATGTAAAAAAAAAAAAGACTTGAGGGGAGGGATTTCGTCGCACTTGGAGGAAAGTAGGTGACGATGAAGTACCTAGTGGTTCTGTTCTTTTTCCTTGCCTCAGGTAAGTAATCACAAGACCTTAATCCTCACGAAGTCCACTCATGTTCGGTGGATGGCTTTTCTTAAGCATAAGTACTCCTAGCACGTTTTTGATTCCCAGCGCAGTTAGGCCATAGAAATGAAATATGATAATGGGGTCTGAATGATTGCTACCTTGTCGATAGGCTGAATCGACTTGAATCGAATTGACTTAGCTCGGCGATAATAATAATACAAATTGAGAACGAGCGTTACAAAGCAGGCTCACCGGCAGAAATGCAGCAGGTTGAGTGGCAAAAACCGCAGAGAACGATCGCAGCTTAGGAAACGAAAACGTTGGAATAGTCTCCAACGATTCTGCACTCCAATCTCGCCCTGTCATTCCTAATTGTCCCTCTCAGTTCCAACTAGCAAGGGACAGAACTCGGCCACAACCAGATGCACCTAAACCGGGTTACGACCTCCAATTTTAGGCCTCTCTCCCTCCAGACAGCAATATATGAGGTCATCCGTATATCCTCTCCGTCGTTGTCACTTTCCTCTTCCGCGATATTGAAGGATCGACACGAGAAGATGGGAAAGTGGCTATTAACTACATTCCCTCCTGGGTAACTAAACCTAATGCTATGCAGTGGATGGTGGTCAATCACTGGAGTGTTACGTTTGCCCTCTGTGAATCGCTAACTTCCGACTTTAAATAGAGGATAAAAATAGGATACATAGAAACAGATAAAATAAATAAATAGGATAAATAAAACAATACGAATTTGGAAAAACTAGAAATCTGGGATGAACGCACATGAAATGGGATAACATGCTTCTTCAGCAATTTATGAATCACGTGTCAATAATGAATGACACGCCTAAGAAACTGTACTCTACTACTACTTTGGTTCCCGATGGTATGAAACACTGCTTTGGAGAGGGTGGGGGTTTGAAACACAGCTTGGTCATTCAAACGTACTGATATTTAAAAAATTTCGACCTGGGAAAAATGCATTACTGGAACTTTGTCCTATTTTTTCTGATCGCCGTGGATCATCGATGCCACCACAAAGGATTTATTGAGTGGGTCTGTAGCATATTATTAAAAAAATACAGAAAGCCAGGAATGGTGTCTGTGATAAATAGTAAGTAAATAATAGGAAGTAAAAATCCTGCGGAAAGGGAAAGAATGCCGGTTGACGTCAGTCTGCGACTTTTAGGAATTTGGGTACTCCTGCATATGGCACTTCGGTCTTCCCACGAAGACCTTCAAAAGGATCATATTCCACTCCTGCCAGGTGAAAGCAGAGGAGCAGAGCAGGGCAAGCTCAATTAGATGCAATGCACTCTTTAGGACAATTGAAGAGCGAATTGGAACTAGGGTTTGAATATTCCCATTGCCGACCTGGACAGGACAGCAGGTCCCGCTCTCAGATTGGTCACCCAAGCCTGGAAGTTTGTGATCCACGGAGCGCACACCTGTGCCCTCAAAGTACATTTCAGGATTCCGGGGAGCATTAACCCTTTCATGGTCCAGTTTTTCCGGAACCTCCCTGGAGGACGACTGATATTTCAGTGCGTGACCGTGAAAGGGTTAATGTTGACGCGAAGAGCTGGATGAATTGCGGAGACAGTACGCTCCAATACTCACAAGACCAGTATTATCAGTCTTGAGACCAGATCAAGGAGATCTTTAGGACCTCCGCTTTTGCAAATTGCACTCTGAAAGAAATCTATTCGTATCTAAATGGTGCCATATGGAGGATGCATTCCTCCGCCGTTCCTTCCAGCTTCCGCGAATGTAGATGTACAGTGGATGGCTAATGCCAGAAACTCATTCTCTCACACTCTTTATCGTTTCTTTGTACTCACTCCGCATTTTGTGCTTTCTGGCAAATGTTAGACTTGGATTAAAATTTTGCAATTCTATGTCGATGAAGCGTGTATGCCAATCCTCAATTTTGTGGCTCATATATAAACTTTGCTTTGCACTTATTTAGTTCTTGCTTTGTAAGGGTTTTTTTTTTGTCTCCGAGAAGCTCTATCAGCAAAACGGCAATAAATTTAACAATTCATTCATTCCTCTTAGAGATACATCTAGTGAGAGCAGAGTGAAAACACGAGGAGGCTCGATTCGCGTCCTGCCACGGACGCGAATCGAGCCTCCTCTCGTGTTTTTTTTTTTCGGGGCCGATAATTACCCTGCAGGCTAGAGCCTTTCGGCTACCTTTCCGTTCGGCCATGTCGTCTCCGCGGTGGTGCCTGTTTGCGTAGTAAAACTGGGCTGTAGATGCATGTTTGTACGTAGGGCAGGGAAGGCCGTCCTCCGGTAAGCAAGGTAGCAGCGATTGTCCGGAGAATTTCGTTCCCATCGGGGACGTGGGATGCTTCAGGCTGGAAGCGCTCAGCCTTAACTGGCCTACGGCTGCCTCCATCTGCCACGTCCAGGGCGCCAACCTAACCATCTTGGACACTCCGGACCTCTTTCAAACCGTCTCAAATGCCATCATCGAATGGGGTTCGTTTTCCTCCCATCTTTAACGCGAGAGAATAGTGGTGCCAGCTCGCATCTTATGACCTGTTATTCGCTATCCGGTGACGCTCCACTAAACCTTTTTCCAAACCCGTCGTGTTCTCATCATTTTCTTGAACGAGAAATTATCAATTTTAGCACAATATTCCATCTGAGTGATGATGTCATGTCCTGAGGAGACTAGCTCTAGCCTCACTGTCTTTAGCCCCTCCTTTGGCAAAGCACTGGCTACATCACTGTACCCTTCCCCATAGATTTCAAGGGGGAAAATATGCTGGGTTTTCAATATGCTTTCAAGTTTCTTTCAACTAGTATCTTTTCTAGAGTTTCACTTGAACTTTGAATACCAGTTGCAAGCTTGTCACAATAATGTGACATACAATGGCATAGTATCACTTACAGGCAGAATTTCAACTATTAGCAAAGATTGCTTGGAAACAAATGCACATACTCACTCATTAACTAAATGATATCAATCGCCCCATATTACTTAATAAAGAAAGAACTGCAGTCTATGCCCCATTAGGTGTCAATGCACCTAATGGGGCATGCATTGTGCTGAAGTCCTCCACTATTGCTAGAGAATCAGTTTCATGACCATTCCAGGCTATGACTACGACATCTGGATGGACCTGAGCAGCATGGGTCATGATGACCTCTGGGTATGGTTCAGCACGGGTCAGGCAATCACTTATGACATGTGGATGGAAGGAGAACCCACTGAGCCAGAAATGAACCATTGTGGGATAATGTCTTTTGACCCTATCTCTGTTTCCTATGGGTGGAAGGCGCTCAACTGTGGCCAAGAGACCTTTGCACTTTGTGAAATCAGGCAACACTGAATAAAACCTCCACTGACCCTGAAGTAAGTTTCTTCTCTGCATTTGATATCCATCTGAAATCTGAACAAGTTAACTTCTGATCTGAATATCTGGCACATTTATGACCATTTAAGTGACCATTTAAGTGATTTATGTTCAGGTAAGAAGCTCTAAAACAAGGTAATCACACACACTATGGGAAGCACTCAATTCCAGCAATCACTTCTATGAAACCAGAAACATTTTCTGCATTCACAAAACAGCAAAAGAAACAGCACCTGGTGATAGCTTGCAAATCCCACTGGTACAGTATTCAGCTTACAGGGAAACTTATTTCTGCATTATTGGTAGTGTTTTCCATGAGTCACTTCCAATGAGTTGATGCATGTTGAGACTTTTTTTTGCAACAAAATCAAAGATCTGAATACCATACAACTTATTCACTTAGTGACCTTCCCTTCATTGAGTCAAGACAACATGAAATACAAAAAAATGAGATTCAACACCTGGAATTTTTCATTTTGGGACTTGATCACATTTCACACAGGCAGGGAGGCACGTTGAAGGACATCCTGTACATAGAAGTTATTCCGGGCAAGGACATCCTTTTTCAACTTCTCTACCTCTGACACAAGTTCCTCATCTGATAGATGATTTAGGTCTAAAGCCTTCACCTTTTGATTGAATTCATTTATTATCTCCTCTCCTTCCTGTAGAAGGAACAGGGGATTGGATGAATTTTCTAAATGCAAAACCTTTGACTTCAAGGCACAATTTTCTATTTAGATACTTATACAGGACCCAATCAGTTCCACCAACCAAGACATCAATGAAAATTAAAGGAAAAAGGAGGGCAAATGATTCTTTGCTGTCACTTTTATCAAATGGTTGCTAGTGTTTCATGTTTGGGTTTCCAATAAAATGACTGACACTACTTAATACATAAATATTTATGGTCTGCCATCAGCAGAATAAACAAACTAGATCAGACAGACAGTTTCACCAGCATCTTAATTTTTAAGCATGAACTCCTAGTCTGAGGTGAAAAAAAAAACATTTAGGTAAAATACATTCATATGGACACAGAAGTTCAAATACCATATGAACAAACCTGCTTTTCAGTCTTCCTTTTCTTCACAGCAGGATCATCTGATCCCTCCAGGTTTGTACCTTTCAGGATTCCACTGTGGTAGTCTTCCAACTCCTTTGCCTTCTTCTTTGCATCCTGTAAAATGAGCAATAGCTTTCAAAATTTTCACATGAATGATACACCAATACTGATGGAGAATGGACAGGACCTTAATGACATCCTCAGGGAAGTTGACCAGCTCTGCAACATGAATGCCAAAGCTCTGATCACAGGAACCAGGCTTGACCTTGTACAGGAGTGTGAGGGTGTTTTCCGATGTCAGTGCAGTCACATGAAGATTGTGAACTGTCCCCACTTCATCAGCCAGAGATGTTAACTCATGGAAATGTGTTGCAAACAGGCAGTAGCTCCCCAGCTCCTTTGCTATATGCCTGAAGGAATACAAGTCAAAATTGTCATAGAATACTCATTGCTGTAAAAAACCAAGATTGAGTTGAGATTCATGATAATTGGTACAGAAACTCATAGAAATGTGCAACAAAATTGATTAAAATTACTGGAAAAACTTACCAAATGCTCAAATGCAATGTGGGAGAAATAGAGAGAGGAGAGTTCCATCAATGTTAGGTTTTTTTTTCATGACTCATTGGTTGGCTGCTGTGCTTCTGTGAAGCAATGTTGAACAAAAATTGTACAAGATAGTTCCCCCTACTAAACCTTCATTAGGGCAGTTGATGGGTTTTCTCTAAAGATTCATCTCTGACTTTTAGACATAACTGATTTTATTACTAGTATATCAGAATACAAGTTCCTACACAAAATTTCATTTGATTACAGTTCCCCTCCTTCTTGGTGTTGCTTTTTTTTCCTGCAATGAGTATGCTGGAGAATAACTTTAGGCTCTTGAAAGATGAGTTGAGCCTAACCTGTAACTCATATTATTATTACTTAGGCTGGTTGATGTCTGACTTTTGTGCTCAGGCTATACAGCAGGCCCATTACACTCTTGTCCTATTAGATGAAGTTTGGCCAAGTGGCTACTCTGGAGATACACTATCTTTTGGAAAACCTTCATCATTGAGCATCTTTAACATTTCACATCCAGACACTGGCTGCAGAGCAGTTTCCACCAAGAACAGTACCAGAGAGTCTGCACCACATTATGGAGCAATTTGGTTTTGAACCAGGATCCCCGTCTTGAAATCCATGCTTGCTACCAACTGGACTATCCTGACTTCCTAAGCCCAACCCATGCTATATGCACCTACATATAAGGAAAGAAAATTACATTTTCCATTGGAAGATAGCAGGGATGAAAAAAGATACACCTCACACCTAACTAAAATGGGAAAAATAAAATATTCCCCAATGCTTTGACTGTATTGTCTTCTTCAGGGGAGGGGGAAGTAAGCTCATCCCACGATTGTCTAACTATTAGGTAAAGTTGAAAAAGTGGTAGTTGGGCAAAAACCCCTGATTCCTATTCAGTCCTCTTATGTGGGTCTTCCTCTTGATAATATATCTCATTTCCTGAAGTTTCCTTCTCTTTGGGTTCTTGAATTCACCTCCACAAAGGATATCAGCCTGGAGACTTGTCAATGAATGATGCAGTTGATTGAAGTTTTGGGATAAGGGCAGGCAGAATGGGATCGCACCTCTTGAAGCTTGTTTCGTGCTGAACCTCAACCTGAATGTCCCTGTCCCACCAAAGTACTCCATGTCACAACTTTTTTACTTGATGGAGTAAACATTTGATGATTTGCAGTAGAATTGCCCTGAGGAGGCAGCAAAGTGGTGACAAATGACACAATGTCTGCCTCCACATGGCACTCCCCTCCTTGGTGGTTGCATGCTGGTATTGATGACAGATTGGACAAGCTCTTGTCTAAGGTTGGGAGGCTGTCAATAGGCTTTGATTGGTGGGTGAGAAAAAATGAGGCATGATATAACTCCTGCCAGTAAGATTTGGAAATTCCACTAGATAATACAGGCTATGCTAAACAAGAATGGGTAGTTATCACAAGCAATATGCATTCTTAATTAGGGTTCCTTTCTCTGTATTGAAGGTGGTCTTCCTTCCTCTTCTTGCCAGCTTTGCAAAAAGTAGCTTGAAGGGAATCAAGAAGTATATCCCCATTGATGGAGATTGACAGAGAGAGCTGACAAATGTTTCTGGTACTCTGTAGGGGACTTACAAATGCACTTCATTCAAAGAGCCTGGGCAAATGGAAGAAATGCTTTGATGTGTTTAGGGTAGAAACTTTTAAAGTGAAGGTAGGTGTCAGGGTCAGCAGGTTTCTTGTGAAGAATATTGGTCACCATTCAAGGAGATCAAGAAAGGAAATGCACAGAGAAGAAGCATTTATCATGAAGGTGAATGGCATGTTGAAGTCATGCAAGGTTTCCTCTTCAGCAGTCCAAATCATAAGAATGCCATTGATATAACAATGATAGATCAATGGTGTTGAGGACTTGAGAAAAACCAGGCATCCTTCAAGATCATCCATGAAGATAATGATGAAAGAAGGAGCCATGCAAGCATCCTTGGCAGTCTCATGAATCCATTTTTCAATCCTACCTCTTAGTTAGACAATAATGTGATGAGCATACTACCTCCCCAGAAAAAGACAATACAGACAAAGCAATGGGGAATACTTTATTTCTTCTATTTTAGTTGGCTGTGAGATGTATCTTTTTTCATCCTTGTACTTACTTATCTATATAAGGGATGAACTTACTCAGATATAGCCCAGGCAAGTCCAAATCCATCATAGGTGGATGTGCCTCGGCCCAATTCATCAATGATCACTAGGGAGTCACTTGTGGCTGTCTGAAAAATTCAATAATAACTGAGTACAATGCTTTCTTCAACTTCAGTTTGACATGACTATCCATGTCATATACAGAAGGCTTTATTTGACTATTTTCAAAATGTGTTTACTTAAATGGGGAAAGAATAAATAACTTTTGTGCAACATGAGGCAGGGAGGAGAAAGGAATGAATTTCAGACATAAAGCCCAATGCAGGACTGGTACATAACAAGAAGCTTCTGTCTCAAGTTACTCATTTTGCAGACTTGAAAAGTCCACCCAGCAAGAGATTACTTGCATGTCAACTGCCAGTGTCCAAGGGAACTATCAGCAGGGTCATTCATGAGGATCTCAAAATGTAAGGAAAACACAAGATCAAAGTCCATGTCCTCAGCTGTAAACACATCAGGGAGAGGAATATGAATACTTGAAATAATGCAAGTGCAACCTGGCCAGTGAAAGGTAAAAGTATATTATGATACTCAATAAAACTAGGTTGTACCTTCCTGTTTGCAGAAAGAACCTGTCTATTTACTGTCAAAAACAGGGTTTTCATTATCTAAACAGGGTTTGGATTTCTGTGCATTTGGATTCCTGCAGTGTGTGTTCCTGTGAATTAATGCAACAAAACTTTGGGGTGGGCTTTGGAAAGTTATCAGAGAGGAATGGGGAAAATTGTGTATTGCTGTGCTGTATAAAGCTCTGGTAGATTAGAAATTAAGGTGTAGGGCTCTTCTTCAGAATCAAGGACATGAGATGGAGCATGATGGTTTCTGAAAGAAGTAGTAAAAAAGAAATTCTGAAGAAAAAATGGCAAAATAAAGCCAGGGCAGCCTGTATTGCCATATTCTGGTGACAATGCATTTTGTCATAGTGAACTAAAATATTGCTATTGTGAGTTAAGAATGTAATAATCCAAGATAATTTTTTAAAACAAATATTCTGGTAAACAAACAACAGTTTTTTCACATACTACTTCATGCATTAATTTCAAGTAAGAGACATTGCAAGTAAAAGGTCTTGCATTTCCATAAAGGACATAGATTAAGCAGAGTTCACACTAGCTTTTTTAAATCTTGAGTTCTGACACCAAGCTTCAGCTCTGTGGAAACATGTTCAGGTGGTTGTCAGAGAGTCCCACAGACTTAGATGTTTTGTAAATGAGTCCCTCCAAGAAAATATGAGTCAGGGACTTGCTATAGCAAGTTAACGTGAACCCTGGTTGAAGGAAATATATCTGAAGGCTATACAAGAAAATGAGTACAGGATATCAAGAAATAAAAAATGGGACCCAATCAGCAATTAGGTCAAATAGGACAAAAGAAGAATACAAATCCTAAACTTCAAGCAATATTTTGGGTTGGGAACAGTAGGCACTAGAGCAGGGGTGCCCAAAGTGGATGTTCACAGAGGCTCTTAGTGTGCTACATGCAGCCCATGGGCCACATTTTGGGTATGCCTGCACTAGAGGAATGTGTACAAACGAGACTCTAAATTTAGGAATCCTCAATAGGAGATGGAGGTTCAGGAATGTTAATGCTTTAGATGGGGTTCCTTCTTCTGGATTTCCAGTCAATTCAGGCAATTCCCTGCCATTTTTGATAACAGACCTGTGACCACTGGCTCCACATGCTTTCATTCTGAAAGCACAATATAGTGGAATAGCATGAGCAGCATGAGAGATCAACCACTCTTTTGGGGGGGAAATACAATTTACAGTATACTGTAGTTTTTTATGATAAAATTTACTACTACTCTAGCTACTACAAGCTTAACTTATTCATATGATGTCCCCATATCTGGAATAAGACTACCTTATTTTATATAGTGCCGCTTCTCAATTCTTCCAAACCTGGTGCTTCCAAATAAGAGCATTCAGACTTTTTTGACCAAATTCAAAGAATAAAAATTAACTGGATGTTAGATGTCCAGTCCAAATAAATGAAATCAAAAGTACTAATAAGGGAATCCAGGTTGGCCCAAACCTAATCCAATTGAGTAGGAAGTTAAGATGAGTAAATTCAAAGCATATGTTCATGCACGAGTGATTGCAGCATGAAGTCATGATGCTCAACATTTCAATGTCCTTACACGATAGGGGAAATCAAGCAACATCACAATTCCTGCACAAAAATGTGAAAATGAGAGATATGAACCATCTCCTTTTAATGACAGGATGGAAATGCTATTCACAGTGTAAGTTAAAACTGCACAGGAATAACTAAAAAAATTTCCATGCCCATTTCTTCCTTGCTTTCATCCTAACTCAATGCATAGAATTAACTACCAGGTATGGATTTTTCCAAAGGGTGTGGAATACTAGTACCAAGGATAAAGCATTTTTACATTGCTTTCAGCACATCTCTTCCACAGTGAATGCAGCTCAATGAAGGGACAATTTCACCCAAGGTCTGATATTGTTTGTATCATTTCTGAGTGAAGTTTAAGCTTTCTGCTGAAATAAGCAATATGACTATACATCTGGGATGGAGTTTGAAGAGTGTGTGATTACAGTCTTCAGCAATTCATATGCAGCCAGGTCCAGACCAACCTGGATAACCCTAATACTTGTGGAATCATAATCTGTGGTTTATCGTGCAAAATGCCATCATGAACCTAGCACTGTAGAGACTGATATGAATGAGAGAGAGAGAAATGGTTACTCTTAGGATGGATGCAGTGTCAAGCATCTCAGCCATGAAGGTGGAGACTCCCTTCATCTGACAATCTGAGGCACCAACTCTTGCAAGGATGGCATCCACAATGGCAATGGTTGCAGACTGACATGGGACAAAGCAGCCGATCTGAGCCATAAGGATGCTACATGCCACTGAGCGGATGTATGTGCTCTTCCCACCCATGTTTGGCCCAGTTACTATGTAAAACATCTCCTTCCCTAGAGCCACAGCATTAGGGTCACATCAAAATATAAGCACCAGAACTTTCAAAAAAATAAAAAAAAACAAGCAAACTTCAATTAGAAATGAAGGAACTTTGTCTTTTCATGGGGAGAGAGTAACAACTTAAATCCATGGCTATGCAATGGATCTGCTTGTTTTATTGAGTCACTTATATTTCCTATTCTGCTGATTAAAGGGCAAATACAGCTACATGCAAAGAACTCATTCCCATGAGAAGAATGAAGCATATTTTAAAATAATTTATGTAAAACCTGCAGTATATTTCACATCCAACAATGGAAAGGCTTAGACAGGTTAACCCTTTTGTGCACAATTTTTATTTCAGGGAAACTTGGAATTTCTTCTTGCTTTTTTTATTTATATTTATTAAACAAATTATATAGAAACACAGAAACATTCTATTGCTATAATTTGTGGGACAATGGAAAAATCATGACCAATACCAAATCCCAGAAATATCAACTGGTAGTGGTGGGAAGCAGGTTTCCCAATGCATTAATCAGAATTCACAAGAGAGAAGTACGATTCCCACAGTTCATGAAAGGGTTAAAAAAAACAAAGGGTTGGGAAAGGCAGAAATGAGAAACCTTTGTGAAAGGAGACATCATTTGGGATGAAGGAGATACCATCTTGAACCTCGAGACAGGGATGTCGGACTCCTTTCATCTCTATGATCCCTGAGCCCTTAGAGAGCATCTCTGGCCGTACATAAGGGATTGGGGCAGACACACTGGCTGCAGCAAAACTAGTCAACACATCCAGATTTGCCAGCACATCATTCAGCTGTTGCATAAGCTCTCCATATCCAGCTGATTTTCAAGACACAAGACCAACAAAGTGAATTATATGCATCATGGAGACATGCAGCAATTTCTAATCTCTTGCTAATGGTAATAAAAGGAAGGATGTTTTGAGGAGGGCAATTCACCCATATCTATGAGGCAAGACCAACACAGGGTCTACATTTGAAAATAAACTGTTCAACAAACTCATAGGAATTCCAAATATAATAAATTTCATCACTTTTATGAACAAGGATATGGAGAAACACCAGCATAAAATATTGGATGATTGCAAAAAATTCCACAATAAATTTTGATTTAGGAGAAAAAACTTTAACCTGGTTAAAATCACCCTGCCACAAGCATCCTTGCTCAAATGGAGAAAAAAAAAAGGGAATAATCATACCAGCAATCTTGATGATCTCAGAGACAACAGCCTTCTGATGCTCTTCATATTCAGAACGAGCTTCCACATACTGGGTATTGAGCTCAGCCAGGGCTGTGCTGTGGAAGCGGACCCCACTCTTATTTGTGTCCAACAGTCGGTAATTACGGTTCCCTCGTAGACCTCTCTCATCCTTCATCCCAAACAAATTGAATTCATTCTTCACATCAAAGGAAATTGATAATACAGTGCAGCATGAATTATGTTCAAGCTATTTAGTGATATGAAAGCTGAAAAATTCATGTAGAAGTTGGGAAAAGAAAGTTTCAGAGAGAAGTAAATCAGGGTTAGAAAGTCTCATAAAAAATATTTATTTTCCCATTCTACTCTCGTAAAGGTGTAAATATTATCCCAACTCATTTCCAGATTAATATAAAATACATATTAACCCTTTCACAACTTCCTTCTGGAGGCATTATTGGGGGAGGTATTGGTGTCTCCTGGGTGTCAGGAAATGTCAATGCCAGTAAAAGGGTCAAGTTCACAAAAAAAGTTTTTTTATGCTATGAAAAAAGTGTGGTATGACCTTTCGAGTGACACGAAAAAAGTACCCAAACTGGGAATTGGATTCCAGTTTTAGGGTCTTCTGGGCATCCAGGCCAAGATCAGCAGCAACCACCTTCACTTGGGCATGCATTTTCGATTCCAACTCCTGTAGTCGCTCTCGAATCTCTGTAAGAGTTGGGCAAATATCAAGGTTGGTAATTTCAAGAACATGCACCTTAGGAAAGGCATGGATGAAATAGCTATCAAATTTTGAGTGTGACCTTCCAAGTTTTCATCAAAGTCTGACTTGATCACAAATTCCCCACTGTCTACAAGGGAGAGATCCATTGTAGTCTCGATCATTTCCTGGAACTTGACAAAGTCTCGCACCAAATCCTAGGAAAAGAATACCATACTTACTCCAATACAGCATTAGTCTTGCTTTCAGAGTGTAGGAAAATAAAACATTTCCCAGACATAACAAATTTTCACAAGCATACATTAACTTCTCAAGCATTTCTCTGGTGGCAAGACAAACACAACTTCAGAGATGCACTGTCAATAAGATAATATTCATGCTTGACTGTCAGATCTTTACCAGTCAGGGGAGGGAAATGAAGACGACCTTTCACCAGATGTGGTAAACACTGGTAATAATAGTTAACTGTAGCTGATAGGTTATTTAACAAGGAGTTCACAAGATAAAAGCATCAGAAATGCCAATTTAAATGGGAAAGTTGAAGTGGGAATTCCAGCAAAATCATATCCCAAGTTGCATATCAATGGAAAGTCCATGATCTCTGAGCATGAAAATGCAATTGCAATAGTAATTGCTATCTCATGCTCAGAGAAATTCAGATTCAAGGTAGAGGAGTCTCAGGGGGTGGCCACAAGTGCCTAATTACAAAATATACATTGTAAAATACAATATATTTGAATATATTACCATGCCCTACTTTTACAGCAAAACTATAAGGTATTACATGTAGCAAGGAGATACTACAGGGTGTCCATATAGTCATGCACCAATGGGGCAAAATGGGTAATGTCAATTGTCTCTTTTCCAGGTGAGAAACCCCGTTGAATGGCCAATGGGTGTATTGCATCCAGACTTATTTCAAACTTATGGGACAACATTTTGAACAAATAGGGTTTTTTAGGAGTTTCTCACCTGGAATGAGAGAAACAAATGATATTACCCATATTGCCCCATTGATGTGTGACTTTATGGACACCCTGTTTTCCCACTGATTACAGAAGCCAAGGCACCCTCTGATTAAACTTCACTACAAGGATGTCCCCTCATCTTACACATTTGATCTCAATAGACAACCCTTCATGGTCACATCTGAAATGACTGCTTTGAAGGCACTGTCCACATCTCTGCATTCATATCTATTTCAAAATTGTGCTGGAAACTCAAGAAAAATGAGAGATTCTTTAGAAATTAATTAATTTGAAGGTATGACCAGACATTGGTTTTGGCAGTCAAAAAATTGTGCCTCCTCACCACTCCACAACATATATCTCAAAAGCCACAAGTAGTCTGAAGCTTCTCCTAGCCTTGTTAGAATGCTGAGAAAGTGGGAAACACTCTGAACATCCTAACATTACAGTAACTGGAAAATCTTAATGTGGGACCTTCCCCCCTGCATGGTGCTGTTGCCTCACAATACCTGTGTTAAAAGTTCAGTGAGTCAGCACAGACAGACTTTTCCCATGTAAAATGGTGGTGTTTTAACAGGTTTTCACACAAAAAGCTATATGATGACTCCTATAAAATTGATAATTTGATCAAACATCAATTTGAAGCAAATGAACAATATTTGAAAGTGGTTTTGTAATATGTACCACACTTCAATTTGGCATCATAATATGTATCACTTTGACAAAAGATTTCCTTGAAAATAAAACTGTAATATAAAGTAATAGTGTGACAAATATACAGGTAGTATATTTATTTGCAATTTTCATGTGCTATGTGGAAAAAATTTCTAATAGACATGCACCAATTATGTCAATCCTTTAACTATTCAATGTTTATTAATTCTTCCTCTCCATTTTCTTGAAGTTGCTTGCCAATATGTCATTTCTACAAGACATACAGGAAACTGTTAAGACTGGAATAAGCATTGAAATCTGCAGTATTCCATGAATGGAGCATTCATCCTCTAACATTTATGATGCCCATCCCATAAAGGGAACAATGATATAATAAAGGTTGACAGAGAGAAGGAAATTGAGAGGCTGATTGCTTATTAAATGCAAGATCTCTTCAGTTACCACTCCTCAGGGTCAAGAGCTGTGAGGGACTGAGGAGGCTATTGTGCAGACATTTTGACACCTAGGGAAATAGGAGGGAATCCTTTTCAAGCAAAGCAAAAAATCTAGTAACAAAGAGAGGTCTGCTGCCTGCATGCACTGATCAACACTGATGACTTGAAGGCTGATAACCAGACTTATTTTCTGGGGACAGAGCATCCAGACAATGCTCATATGTGATCTGCCAAAAATGCAGGAGCAGTGTTTCTTTCCCTAAGAATTTGAAAGCTTAGTAAATAGTAAGTAATAGAATGCACAGAAAGAGTGCCAACACAATGCATATGTTCTAGGGATTCAATCCCTTGCAAAAAAACATCCCCTATACAGATCAATAACGCCAGACTTGTTATCAGTTACAGTTTCGAACATAATCTGGCCATAAAGATTTGCTTTTGTTAGGAAACCTCTCTAAAACTAATGAAACAGGAGCTATAAAACTTGTACATAGTGCATATTCATAGTTTATAAACAGTCAACTAGATAAGACTATATATCAAAGTAATTACTACCTAGTACTACTGAAAAACTGAGAAATGAAAGTTTTCACAGGTCATTCTTGTTCCATTAAGCTATCCTCAAAATGTTACAATAGAGGGCCATAGGTGTTGGATCTGCTTATCCTGTGTGAGAAAGAGGTTTCTACAGTCAGTCTTCCCTTTGAAATAATCAGACATCACAACAAACTTGAAAGCAAGGTTTTCATCTTAACACCATGACCATGACTTGACTGAAAGAAAACAATCTTCCCATATAAGTTTCCTTATATGCTTTCTTGATTATCCTCTTTTAGTGAGCTGATGTCCTGTTATCATATGAACACCCATTGAAGGCATTGGCATAATTAAAATCACACTCATTGGCAGCTGTCTCTGGAAATAAGGGGGATGAAAATTATTATACTATTGAAAGCTGGCTCATGAATGAATGATTCATGGGATTCCTTCATCCTTCTGGAAATTAAGAGAGAGCATAAAAACTGTCTGACCACATTTGCACCCTTCCACAGTCCTTGAGAATAGTGAGCAGTTAACTGGAATAAATACTTCCTGCAATTTTCACATTCCTAACTTTTAAAACCTGATTTCAACACATGGACTGAAAGATGTTAGCAGAAACCATTCATCAGAACCATGGAGAAGCTTCATGGCTCTTCATAATTTTAGAATGAAAAAAATCCTTGAAAAACAAAAGCCACTTGACCTGTGCTCATAAGGGCACAGTACATGATGTTTATTTGAGTTTCATTCCAGTGCCAGCTGAAACAACTACCCTCAACTTAGTTGGGCTTTGAGATACAAGATCCTGTTTTTCAAGTATTGTTATCAACTGAAGACACTCAGCACAAAGAACTTCAGACCAAACCATAATGGAGACCACTCACCCACCTTAATTTGATGAACCCTCCATTAATCTCTTTCTCCATTGGTATGTATTGAATATATTCATTGATATTACAAGTTGACACATAAATAGAGTGCCTTATGAAACCAAACAGTACAGGAATAGGATAGCAAGTCTTTGAATCAAAGAATGGCACCTTGAGTGGTGCAATGAAGAGTGTATGAATTGTGGAATGATGCACATGAGAATGATCCTCATAACCTTCAAGGGCCTGGACAAGAGCTGGCAGACGCTTTACACAGCGATAAACACGGTAACAATCTTGGAGGGTGCTCTGCTGACGCAGAAAGCGCTTGGAGAGACGCTGAAGATCAGGAATTCCACGGAGGTACTCCTCCAGCAAAGCACTTCTCAGCTCCATGTTCCCTATCAGGGTCTCCACTACATTCAGTCTCTCCTCTGCAATTCAATGAAGACAAGGCAAAATACAATAGGAATGACAAAAACCTATAATGAAGTTAAAACTAACAAATTTTAAAAGGATGAGAAATAACCTGACACGGAAATATAAATGCACAAGAAATAATGCATAAATGTACAGTTGTAGGATAATATGTGAGTCTGGCAATCTCCAAATAAATTTTGAAAAACTTCAAAGCAATGATTCTCAAACCCTATGACTAGTCACACACAGTACCAATTTTATTGAGATCTACAAGAGGTTGCTTGATCCACTGGCTAAGAAGTCGCTGTCCTGAGGCAGTACGGCAACGGTTGAGCAGCTTGAGCAGGGAATGAGATCGTTCCATGTCCCCTCGGTTGGGCAGGAGATTCAGGGCTCCCATGGCAGATGCATCCAAATGGACATAGCAAGAAAGATCCAAGCTCTGCAGGTGGAAGATGCCGAAGTTTCCCTCATCGGCCAGCAGCTGTCAAAATCAAGGCCTGGATTACACTGCAGATCTTGCAGAAAGAAAACAATTACAAAGTCACATGTCCTAAAAGATCCTTTTATTGCTTTCAATGAGCCAACCAAAGCTCTTCATCACCTCTTGTCTTCCTGCCCATTCCCCCAAACAACGTACATCAAGAAAGGATATGAGGGCAGCAAGAGCTGCCATGGCATGTTCTTGTGATGTCTCTGGGAGCCCAGCAGCATTGGCTTGCTCCCCCTTCTTAAATCGTAGAAGTCGATTAAGGTCTTGAATGACATCTCGAGCTGTGAACTCCCCTCTTTTCCTCTCTGAAACCAGGACTCCACTACGTTCCACTACCTGAAGAATAAATCACCCAGTGATACCTACAAACAATAATTACTTCTTTGCAATCATGATTCCTGAAGTAACAAAAGTCTTGCAACAACCAGTAGTATGCCAATTACTAAAAAGGAAATAAGATTAATGAAGAATACACATATAATCATTCATGATGAATTTGGTTGCAGACCTGACCTTTTCCAAATCAGACAATGAACAAATATTTACATACCTGTTTCCATAGTTTCCATAACGATTAAAATTCATAATGGTCAAGAATTACTGACTATATTATTTGAAGCAAAATAATTGAAAAAAAAAAATTAGGAGTAGTAACAATTTAAAAAATGCTTCAATTGCCTGATTACTTCATAACATAGAAGTTCTGATGAGTCTCTTTTGTTTTAGATATAGTTAACTTGACAGACTTCCATTTATCTGTATGGCAAAAATTCTGCACTATTTGTATTACATTGACAACTGCAGAAGTCAAGAGATAGGAGTTTGGTTCTGGGCCAACTAAAAAGAAGTCAATTGGTTAGGTGAATAAACGATAAGATGAAATTTTACCAGAGTATATCAGAAAATAAATTTCCCGTGTCTCTCAAAAAAGAAAAATATTTGCAACCTTCCTACATGCAGTGGTAATATGAAATCCTGTTCCCACTCCACTTTTCTACATAATCACCACCTACAGTTATACATTTGTCCCATTGGTAAATGAGTCTTTTCCAAACCCTCATTAATGAAGTCTGTGACCCAAGCACTCATCATCCTCCACACTCGTTTGGCCCCCAGCAAATGCATTATCATTTTCCCATTGTCACCATACACGGAAACGATCTGACGATGGATATCAATGAGTGCATGTTTGCTTGCCCCCAAAAATCGTATCACACTGCTGACTTCACAGTTTGTGCGCTCTTCCAAGAGTGTGGCCATTTTGTCACCATCACTGCACATGCACCCTGCCACCAGTGCATGGATGGTAGGGCAGGAAGCAGTGTACATATTAGCATATGTACCATCACGCTTGTACTAACAATGTTTGTTCTAGAGACATGGGAAACTTGCTTTCTGATACCCCCTTGTATATGAAACTTCCAAATGACTCAGGAACAAACTCCCATCCCATACTCTTGAATTCCATAGCATCTCATGAAACACAAACAGCCTACATTTTTGGGGCTAAGAGTAAATTGAACTCTGCCATGTTGACTACATCTGAAATAAAAAAAGAACCATCAGAATTTCTAGGCTATTGAAATTGCCTAGCAAATGAAGCATTCTCAAGTTGTTACAGCATGGACTTTTCAATAAATTAAGCCTCAAATTATGGCAAATGTGTTTTTGGTCACTGTGTATGCTGTCTACTTTAATACAATCATTTTTTGCATTTTTAGTATGTTCATCAAATAAGACTTAACTATCAATTTTAACATACTGAGTTGGATGGGTATTAATTTAACAACATTTAAAATGAGTATACCTGCTTGACTTTGCAGTACTCATCCCCCACTGGAAGGAGACATTCCTTGGGTGCCAGTTGAACAAGAAGGGCTTCCAGGTTCGAAAATACATCGTTCTCAGGGAACTGGCTTACTTGTAGGAGCCGCTGCCCTGTGTCTGCAAAACCAACACCCACCACCTACCCAAAACAAACATAGGCATCATGTAGAAGGCCAAATATAGAATAGATAAGAGATCAAGCTCATTTTCATTGTCACCCTCTGGCTATTCTCAGTAACAATTTTGACTGCGATGACTCCAACATTTGTTGACTGGTCGGCATTGGTGAAGAGGATGTCCTCAAATTGGTAAAGGTTCCCTGGAGAACCCTGGTAGGATCAAAAACCACACAAAGCAACACAATAAATGAAACACATTATAGAAATTACAGAAATATAGAATAGTGATCCTTAAATTAAGAAGAGACCTACATTAGTAATAAGCAGTGATCAATATGATCTCCCCATGTGCTATGAAGGTGCAATGGTTCTTTGATACACATATATGGTATGGTCCTGGAATCATTAGATGAGTCAAAATGATTAAAGTCTTTGGAAGTTTATTAGGGCAACAGGTTTGTTTGTGTTTCATGATATGCAATGGTCAAGATCTGTGAGGGGGTATCAAAGAATAAGGTTCTCTAATTTTTTGCTCCAAACTTATTTATTTTAGCAACCAAGACATTATGTATACAGATGAACAAATATGAGTACATCAACTATTTTTCAACATAGTTGCCAAAATTATCCAAGCACTTTTATAATTTTGCAAGTTCTGATAATTGTGTAAAAAAAAATAGGGAACTTTATCATTTGATATGCCATAGTAATTATGATATTCTAATTATTCTGTGAGCTGAAGTAGGCAAGGTATTTCAGAACTCCATGAACCATTTCATTAAAAAATTGTATTGTCCACATTGGAGGATTTTGTAACAGTCCAATTCTTGAATGTGGGAATATTAATCTCAACATTGTTGAAAATAATGAAAACATAATGCAAATTAAAAATGAAATAAATTCAAAGTTTTCCTTCCCTTTCTTTCAAATATGATAAAGAATTTTCATGAATGTTCCAGTCCCCTGAATTCACTGGATATAAAAAAGAGTACCTTGTATTCAAGTGCCCATTCCTGGGAGTTACGACTGGAGGACTTGTTTTTGTAAACCTCAACCCGATACTGCTTGACCAGGAGGAGATCCCTAGCAAATGCCTCAAAATTTGTCCGGCTCAGCACCAGAGATTCCAATGTAACTGAACCTATTGTGGAAAATCATCAAACCAAATAAGGGTCTTGTCTTTCATTGTATAGGACTCTTAATTCATTTGGGACAGGTTAACCTGATTTGAGTTTCTTGACAACCCCAGTGGTTTTGAAGACCTCCTTGGCTGTGAATAATGCATCTGATCCATGCACTGTGTAGTAGTCACCTCGATCAAAGATGCGAATGGTTGTTGGAAGTTTCTGCAAAATAAACCATTGCACTGTGATTAAATGGACCTATATCATCACTCAAATACTTTTTCTTTACCAGTGACTTCTGGCAATAGAACTAATTGGCTTTATGAAAATTTAGGAAGTGCCTAGAGAACTGATTCCTAAGGAGTCGTTTCTATCAGAGAAATTCCTCATATCTATTTCTAGAGTGTGAATGAGGAAAAATCACTGCAGAGGCAAGACAAAGAGGAAGAGGCAAAAATCCCTGCAGAGGAAAGACAAAGAGGAAGAGGCTATCACAGAGGAAATCCTATGGATAACAGTGGACAGAGGAAAAGCCAATTTCCGTTGAGCCTTGGATGGCATTAGATAACCCTAGCTGGACTGTCTCATCCTCTCTTCATTCTCTTGGAACCCTGCCCTCTTGAAGTACCAAATGTGAGTCTTCACTACTCTTCAATAATTCAGTTCTTTTATTTTTTTTTTTCAAGGTTAATAGAAGCTATAGCAAATACATTGAGGATTTTTACCCTTTTCACTAAAACTGGATTTTTTTCTAAGAATGCTCTTTGTCTCATGGATCAATTTGCATAATAGTTCAATAGAGCTGACTTGGATTCTTTTTCTTCACACACTTAGTCTAAATTAAAGCAGAAAATAGGTTTTACTCTTTTGGATGGATTGAAAACTTCAAAGAGTTCAATTTTAAAATTTAGCATAGTGTTCAATACAAGTTCAATAGCAAGTTCAATACTGTAACTAATAAAAAAAATTGTTTAAAATTTTCATTGGTATATCGGGCAACATTGGTTACATCCATTATTTGGCATGGCTCACTGTCATAAATTTTCTGAAACTATGGCTGGTTGTGCAACAAATTTTGACATACCTGTAGAAGGGGTAGATACAGAAATTTTTTAAATAGCAGTTCCCAAGTTCCTCCCCCCCCCCCCCCCCTGCCTACCACCATTCCTTGTCCTTTCACCTTTTTTATTTTTCGTCTGGGATAAGAACTTGAGTATCTATTACACTGACTCCAATAAACTTTAATGCAGATGCTATTTTGAATTAATAAATCAAATGCTAACCTGACCATAGGGGGGCGGTCACCCTTCTGCATCCACCAATGACCTGTAGCTCTGAGGTCGAACATGGGCAATATGAGTCTCATTTGAACGCTTTCCATCATAAAGTAATAGAAAATGCTAAAATGAGAATAAAAGTCTGAGCAAACAGAGTGAAGCTCAAGGGCCTAAGTGGCAAACTGGAAGGCCATATTGCTTGCAATTGCCTCCCATATTCCTCTGATCTTTAAATCTTTCCTTTCCTTAAGAGGAAGATCTAATTTCACTTACAATATTTTTTTTAAATAATGATTTTGGATGGCTTTTCTCAGAACTACCTTGAAACTATTCTAGATGAAGAGACCTATTGCTGGACTCTTGCTTCTGGCTTGTGCCATGGCATGGCCAGTGGCTCAGGATGAACTGCTGGACCAAGATATAGCTGGAGAAGAGTCGCAAGAAAACCTTGAAGAAAGAATTGCACTCCAGGGAGAACAATCAGGTAGTGCTTCCAGAATAGGTTTAATCTACAGGGTATGGCAAAGAAACAACCAATGAATTTTACTTTATGTATCTCTGCTACCACTTCAGATATTTTCATGAGCCTTTCACAGTGCATAGATGGCTATATGCAGTTCAAAACATTTCTCAAATTCCTTGCTCTTAAAATATTCAATCATTTTTAAAAAGAAAATGGACAAGAGCTGATGCTGGTAGTGAAGTGGAGGACATGCTCAGGTTCCACATCATGGAACCACAATGTCTCTTCAATTGAAATTCAATATTCATGCTGGTCTTTCTTAGCAGGTTGATTGGAATAACACTTATCAAAACTGTAACAGGCGAATCAATAAGTTCAAAACAGAGAGTTTTCTCAAAGCCAATGTTCAAAGTGAAAGGTCCCTACCAGAAACTTTCCTTTGATATTTGCTGAAGAACAAGGCAGCAGGGGGTGCTCAAAAGGGATTGAAGTCCCCCTGACCATTTCCACTTTGATTTATTTTGAATCATTGCCAATTACCTTAATATGCCTTAATATGGCAATTTCAATTTGGATAAAATTTCAGGAGTCTGTTAGGAACATGTCAATCTATACACAGTGCAAGTTTTGTGAAAATAGCTCTAGTGAGAGCAGATACATAAAAGTTAAGAGTTGGTCTTTTTCTTTACCAAATCTGGTGCACTCTTAATTTCATTTTTATGCAGAAAGTTTGGCTACAGCCAGAGCCTTCACTATTGAGCTCTAAGGCAGTTCTAGACCAGAAAATGGAACAACAATATATGACTTAAATTTATATTTTTTAAAGTGGGAAATTTTAGTTTTGAAAATTGAATATTTGAAAATTGAATAATCACTTTTCTAAGAATATTGAAAAAAAGAAAATTTGCAACTGTCAAGGAATGAGAAGTCAATATTCCATGATTCAGATCACAAGTAGAAGCTTGGATAATTGCTTATCAAATCAAATAAGGCAACATCCAGTAAAGTGGTCACACAGATGCAACCCAGTCTTGATGACAGCCAATTGCCAAGTACTGTAACCTAACAACCCTTTTGTGACCATCTTGTTTTTTGTTGCATGGATGGTATTGCCACCAACAAAACCATGGCATGACTGGGCTTAATTTTTTTTATGCAGTCAACCAACCAAGGAATTCGCAGGGAGTCCCGTTTCCTTCAGTTGGGGTTCCACCACCACCAGGTGTGCAACAACAAAGACTTCCACCAATCTCAACTGCAATTGTCTACCCCGTAGAGTATCAAGGACAGACCTTATCAGATCTGTACAACCTATATGATGAATTGAGACGAACAGGCCAGACTCTGCCAGTGAATCTGGTGAACCAGCCATGGTACGCTGACTGGTTGGCCCGACAGAATGGAAATGTCCCATCTCTCTCTGCCCAACATCCCAATCACTGATATACAACTCTTTCATGGAAGATCAGCAGAAGAGAGTGCTTCATAATAAAGAATTTATGCAAAACCTTGAGGTTGTTTTTCAATATAACTCCATTCCATTTAAATTTCAATTTATCTATTTACTCTTTTTAGCATACAATTAGCTCACAAATTTCATAATTAACAATGATTTAAACAATACTTGCATATCATACCTTGTCCATCTGTCAGTGCCACTGTCAAGAACCAATTAGCTCAACCAGCCTTGCAACTGAAATGCATGGTAGACTCAAGGCTTTGGAAGAAACAAAGGAAGAACATGGGTGGAATGACTCAAGCCTATGAAATAAATGGAACAAAACCAAAGCTTGGTGTGACCCAGGCCTAGGAAATAAAAAGTGTAGCCTAGGGAAAGCTCCTACCATTAATTCAGCAAACAGTGTTCTGCACTGACAGATTGTAGTGATGCCCAGATTGCTTCAGTCACTTTTGGGTCTTGGCCTTTCTACACATTAGGCCAATAACACCCAACCCAACCTCAACAAACTAGGAGTTTGGTTGGGTGGTGTTGGCCTAATGTACCTCTATACACTGATTTTGGATTGAATTGGTAACCCCCCCCCCCTAGGAGCGCTTCCATCAAGTACATGCAGGACACCTTGTGGGTGGAAGGTGAAGTATTAATAGAACCATCCAACAACCATGTGGAGCATCAGGCTTGACATCTAGAGTGAAGACCTAGCAGTTAGACCAGTGGTTCCCAACCTTTTTTTATTTGTGGCATACACATGGACACTTAAATTTTTGTAGCACACTAATGCATTTACTTACTTTCAATGGGAAACTTATGTTTGCTTCACTGGACACAGCAATTTGATAACGAGGCAGAATTATTGATAATGCAACTCTCAGTTGATTTTCCATTGAGAGAAGGCATTACTCTTGTTGTTCTTGATTGCCATCAGAGCCAAAAAACTCAACTGACACAAGTAGACAGTAGCAAACTGCTGCAGCACTGATATTGCATAAGAGCCGATATCAGAGTATTTCTTTCCAATTGGCAAAAAGAAAATATCCAATGCCAAGTCACAAGGTTTCATCAATGTGCAGTCTGTGAATGTCTCAGTGTGCTCTTCTTGTGCCATCACCAGTAAATTGGTTGCCAATTGAACAGAATTTGGCAAGGATGGGTTTCTCTTCCAATTGAGCTCCAACACTTGCAGTGATGGAAAGTAATGTCTAAATCATTCTTCAAGGGTGTTTTTTTGACAGCTGAAGTAAATTCAAAAGGAGAGATGATGTAGATCCTGATGTAAGGAGGATTGGAGCCCACCCAGCCATGTTAAAACACATTTAGTTTATTTGTTGTCAACTCTAAAACCTACAGCACACCTAAGCCTTACTTGCAGCAGACCAGTGTGCCATGGTACCCTGGTTGGGAATTACTGAGTTAGACATCTGGGATGAGTTACTTCAACTCATTATGTATTAATATATAGATAAATAGCTACATACTGCTGAGGTGAAATAAAAATAACCTTCACATCTTGCAGCTTCAAGTCAACATTAGCAAATCCATTGCAGTTATAAAAATAGGAACCTGTGCACTGGGTGATCAAGAATGAACATGGGCCAAGGAGACAACATGGATAGAGGCATATGGTATGAGGACAATCAAGGCCATTTCATATTTGTGATAATTCTGTGACTGTATGTTGTTCTGAAAAATCATATCCAATATGTCCAGCTGCAGGATTGCAATAGTGCAATGCAGCAAGAAAATTGCCATGCAACAGTTGGATGGAGCATGCTATTCAGAAAAATACCTATGCTGTACATCATACAAGATCAAATAGAGACCATTAATATTTCTGAGATTGCAGTGGAACATGCAGTACAGCAGATGCAGCGCTACATCTGTCAGAAGCAAAGTGTGGTTTTGCTGTTAATGGATTGCTGCTGAGTGTTTTTTTGTCCAGCATCTGGTATGCTATACAGCAGGAGGATGAACTTGGCCTCAGGTAGTCAAAAAACTTTGGAGCTCACCCCCTACTTCTTTGAACCTCAAAACTAACTCCCCATTGGATGTGAATGGTATAATGTTTCCCTTTAGTTGCATAATTTCCTGATGAACCTGGCAGAGATGAGTTTGAGAAACATACAACTTCAAGCCAGGTCACCCAGTAGTCCCAACAAGCAAGCTGGCTCTTCAGTGTCTTCAACAAGATACTCATGATTCTTATGTGAAAAATCCCAAGAAGATGGTAAAAAAGTAAAAGTGAGCAAAACTAAGGAGATGGAGGACCCTAGTGGATCTGGCAAAGAGAACCCAAAAGTGGATATCTTGCAGGAGCTACTAAACAAAGAGGGTCATAAGTACAATTTTGATGACAAATTGTGGAGGGAACATACAGAGGGTATGGCCAAAAAAGGCCAAAGACTTTTAACCAATATATATTTCTGTTCCCACTGGAACAATTTTTATGAAACTTTTGCCATCCATAGAAGGATATGCTCCCAACATACTGTTCAAAATTTATTTCATTTTCAATGCTCTAAGTCAAGGCTACAAGCAATGATAGGAAAGAAGTTAGATAATGAAAACAGACAAGTGCTCATGGTAGTGTAATGGAGGATATGCCTGAGTGCTCTATTTACACATCATCCTGGCCATATCCATCTTCTCTTCCATTTAAAATCCATTTTCTCTATCTTTTATTGAGCTCGAAAGCTTTTCTTCGATCAATGACAAATGAATCAATATGTATAAAAATAGACTTTGTGCAAGGTTAATTAATATGTTCTCTTGGTCCTTGGAGAATGAGGCACTCAGAAGGTATTGTAGTCCCCTGTCCATTTTCATTTTTTCAATTTAATTATAGTTATTGCTCATTTTCTTGCTTCGACAATAACAATTTTGATGAAATTTCAGTAATCAGTTGAAAGCTTATCAATTTAAGCACAAAGCAAGTTTAATTTAAAAAATTAGCTCCAGTGGGAGTTGAGACATGCAAGTCAAAAGTCATGGGATTTTCTTTTTGTCAAGCAAGGAAGAGAAAAATTGAAACAGAAGTGAAGCATGAAATAAACTCACTTCAGACAGAGAGTTGAAAAAGGCAATGAAACCAACATCTTGTATTGCTTCTGTTTGGAGAAAGGAAGAGTCCTTTTTGTCAATGTGATATTCCAGGGAAAAATATAGAAGCTAAATTTTCATGGACTCACCCAGATTCAGATCTTGTTTTGGTGTGACTGCCATGCTTTTTTTTTCAATAGGAAGCAAAATAAGTAGTCCTATATGTGAAGGGGCACAGAGGACTTCCTACACTTCAGATCCCCAGTGTAACTAAGTTATGCTTCCTCTCTTTTCCTCTCTCAAGAAGTTCTCTTTCCCTATTACAGCAAAAATTAAATAAGAATTAAATCTGAACTGATTCTCAAATCCTGTCATTTCCACAAGTAGCTCAAAAAGCCTGTGTACAATCAGGCATAAAATAAATATACTGAATGATTTATAGAGGCAAAACAACAAACTCAGGCACTGGCATCTGTGTTACAAAACCATCCTTCCTAGGTCTACTGTGGGTTGAAAAATAAACAAAGTTTTGCTTTTCTTCTCTAATTATTCATAAGCTTGGATCAGAATGGTAGGATGCTCTTCAGTTCAGAGGTGTACATTGACATGAATATATGTCATGTACATGATCACATCACAGCTGGAAATGAAGTACCAGAAGCAACTTTACTTTTAGAACATTTAGTTACTTATTTTCACTTAAAGACCCATAACAGTGGCATATAAGTACAATCTCCCATGTGAGAGAGAACAAAACCATTACAAGCCTCTTCCAACAGGGGCAGTTCACTCAGCAAAAAGGGTGAACCTGGTAAATATTGATCAAGGGAGACTGCATCTCCTTCTCAGATAGTATGAAAAAATCCATAGGAGGTGGGGGGTTTCCTGAGATTGTTACCAACTTAAAAATAAAAAGGAAGTTCCTGTAGGAGGAATTTTGGTCTTACATTCATAAATTGAACAGTTTCTACTTTTAACTCTTTAATATCTTAGCTGTGTATGAGGCACTAGCAACAGCTAATTCAAAAAGTATATAAAAAACAGAATTGAAGAGTTACCCTAACCTCCTTTGTTCCATCCGAAAACAGTCATTGAAAACACAAAACGAATATGAGACATTCATTGTTGACTGGAATCAGATTCCAAGAGAGGATAAGAAAGAACAGGAGAAGGGAAGAACTTGTTGGAAGCTGCATGCTCCACCAGATACTCAAAGCCATAGTCTAAGTAGATCTGTCGTGTCAGATACACATTGGGATCCTGGCAAACCAGGGTGGCACCATACCATGCATCCAAGATTGGGTCCTTGGCCACTGATACCTGGATCTCTGACTGATATGGAGATATGGCTATAATTTCTGATTTAAGACGATGTGTGAAACCAGGCAATTTTGCAAGACCACCTGTCACAAACACATTATTTCGTAATCGAGCTTGAATGTCAGAGTCATAACACTGTAGCACACTTTCAATAGCACCAATGAGTCCAACATGATCCAGTCCTAACATCCCAGGCTCAAAAAGCAATTCGGGTACCCTATACCGCTCAATCCCGAAATTGAGCTGATATAACTCCTGAGGATTGATGCAAGCATTGTCTGCTGCTGCTCGATCATATTGTGCCAGCATTTTCTCCAAATCTACGAGTTCAGACTCCACTTCTTCTTCCTCTGAATCCCAGTTATCACGACTAACTTGTCGGTAAACATCCCAGTCTTCATCCTTAGCACCAAATAGGTCTTCACCGGAGACTGGGTCTTCTGCCAGACGCCAGAGTAACTGCATGCGTTCCCGTGCAGCCCGTGTTCCACGTTTTGCTGTTTCTGCCTTCTTCTGCTGAATTTGTTGCCTTTTATCCAACAACTCTTGTCTCCGCTGTCGCATTTCCACCACTTGTTTCTCCAATTCAGTATTAGATTTACAAGGAAGCTTGGCTGTGTTAGGAGCAGGTGTTTCAATGTTTAGCTTCTGTCGAATCTTGCATAGCTGTTCTATAAGATTCTGCTCCACTTCTTCCAGCTGCTCTGGAGAGTGGAAACCAGCTTCCTCCAGAATGTGCTGAAAGGCTTCTTCATCAAGGGGCTCCTTCAATGCCTCACGAGTCTCTCCAATCTTCACCAGCTTCTCCTCCAGTTCTGTAACCTTGGCTTCCCGTCGTCTGCGATGCATCTCAAGAAGATGTCGCACCTGCATTGAGAACAAAAGTATCACTCTATTCATGTATGGCTTCATTTTCTGGACTTCCCATGCAACCAAGCATGAACTTTAAAAAGTCAAGGGAGGCTCAGAAAGGTCATTCTACTCAGAGCAGCAAATAATTCAGTGCCTTCATACTTCATTGAAATTACACTCAAGTTGCTCAAAAAACAATATCCATGTTTGGCAAATGTTGCTAGACTATTTGCAACATGAATCTGAGGGAAATCATAATGGAAAAACCTTCACAACATATTTAATTTTTTTTATGCAATAAGCTTCAGAAAATGGTTCCAAATCATCTTTTGGTCACATCATGAGGGCAGGTAGCAAGTTTCCTCTCTTCATTGGGATGAATTAAAGTTATTCATTTTCACTTCAATTATAGCAGGATTAGATTTGCACATCACTGATATAAAACATCAAAGGATAGGAACAAAATAGGATGCATGTCAATAAGAGGGTTTTGGAAAGTATACCTTTCCATCCAATGTCACTTTCCTTATTTTTTGTGATCCTATCTCCTTTTCCCTAATTGGTATTAGATTACAAGATTGCCAAGCATTCCCAGGGAAGCAGCAAATAAATAGGAGAGTTTATGGAACATTTTCAAACCGCTTTACCTGATGCTGGCGCTTCTCTTCCAAAGCACGTTGTCGAGCATCATTCATCTCCTTATACAGTGCTGCATTATAGGGCAACTGTACCTTAATCACATTCTTGGCAAAATAAGCTTGGTCAAACCATTTCATCAGTTCAGGTTTGTATTCTGCTGCAACCTCACATAGATTATGAAGCAGTTCTTCAACTCGCAACAAACTAAGTGAAGAAGCATGGCCTGGGTATCGCAGCTGAAGGATACGGAGCAAGAAATAGGACAAACTGGCCCCACCTATATTGATGCGTTTTGAGGCAGCAGGTAAATATTTCCCATCAACAACTGGTAGTACATGGATTGTCTGGTGCCCTAGGTCAACCACCAAAGTGTCCAATCCATTTCTCAGATTCTGGGCAGAACTGAAGAGTCCATCAATGCCATAACACACTTGAGGGATGCCATAACTTTCAAATAATAACTCTGACATCATCCCTCTGGCATAGTTGGGGACACAGGGTGCTTCGGTCAAGACCAATGGATGATCTGCTAAGTTCTCCTGCACCCCAAGGCGAGTAAAGATATGGTCCAGGATGAGTTCTTGGATGTCCATCTGTGTGACAACATTTCGCTCAAAAGGGGACTTGATGTTATATGTGGGGATGGTGTCAATGCCAACAATGTCATTTCCCACTTGTACTTCACTCTCTTTCTTTGCTTTGTCACGTCTCTGCCGGGCCATCAGACTGCGGAAGAGGAGTCGAGGTCTATCTTCTGTTGCCCAACCAGCACGGCACATCCAGGACCCATTATCAATGATGATGGGGACCTGTCCACCTTGGAGAGCTGATGTGTACTCATGACATGCATCTGGGACCCAAGGTTTGTCTTGGAATTCATACATAGTTTCTTCCTGTTTATCTACCTCCATTCTGTTTAAAGAATAATACCTTTGTGAAAAAATTTTAAAAAAAACCAAAACAAGTGAAAGAAGTGTTGCAAATAGGCATCTCCTTGCCATTATCCTTCAAAAATGCATATCTGGATAACAAGGAGAGCCATTTTCACAGTCAAGGTATGGACTGGCATGGTATGGATTGGTTCCTCAGAATTGATACCCTCTCCTAATTTTCTTCATGTAACAATAACATTCAAGAAGATAAATTCAAACCTATCATTCTCAAGTCTGCCCTTTCTATATATAGGCTTATGGTATAACATTAGGAGAGACACATAAACCAAACTCTGATATCATTATCCCCATTGAGTCATTTTCACTTAATGATGGAGACTGATACAATTAAGCAAAGGAGCCAACAGTCATAGTAAGGTTTTTGGTTAAAAGGCAGTTGAATATAACCTGCATATATTTGAAGCTTTATATGGTAGAATTGAAAAGTTCTGCTGATATTTGTTAGTGAACAGAAGTATAGCATTTCTAGGTAAATTACAACAGCATTATCTAGTTTTAGATATATTTGACAGATGATCTAGTTTTAGATTATTCCTTCTTGTCCTGTAAAAGCAAGTCAATTTCTGTTGATAAGTCAGCTCTTGTGCACTGCAAGTTGCAATTTCAGCATTAGCCAAAGATAAATTTACAATTTTTCATCTAAAGAGCAAAAAGGAGCTAAATTTGAGATTCAGACAATGGCATCACAGATTAAACTCAAAAATTCCTGAAGCAACCTCATCTAAGCACTCTATTCAACAACAAAATTAGAGATGCAACGATATTTTATCTGTTATTGGTATTGGCCGATATTAGGTGAATCTGATATATCGGCCTAAAACGATATATGACCTGCTGATAACCGATATTGAAATTACACCTGAAGTATGCCAAACGCTAAGTATGTAAAGCGAATTATGAATATTCTCACCTTTTTCCCATTAGACAACATTTCACTTGACTCGAACACACATTCATGGGACGTTCCTCATGCATGAGTGTCAAAGTCAAGTGAAAAAATGTCCAACTCAAGTGAAAACACTGCAGAAGGTTGGAAATGCCTAAATGACCCGATAAAAAAAAGTAAAAGTAGTATTAGGCTACTGAAAATGTAAGCATTTTTCCCCTTTGCATTGGGATTCGACCTTCACTGCCACGGTTCCTCAACGTCCCACATCTAGAGATAGGAGCGCTCTGTGCTTGGGTACTCCCTTCCCAAGCACGCTGGCGCTTGAACTAGGAAATATGCACTTGACTTGGCTAGGTTCGAGCCCAGGCCACCCTGTCAGGGGACGTAAGCTCATTACCCAGTCACCCGAGAGAGAGATGAGAAGCGTCATCTACTTAACTCGGCCTAATGCCATTACCATAGTCTATTCCGTACTTTCTGCGAAAATAGGCATCGCTTATGTTAGCGCGAAGAACCCAGGCCTAGATGGATCCCAAAACCTTCGTACAAAAATCACTAGACTATAGTCTGATTTCAACTCTTTCGTGCCCAGAGGTTCCATTTGGAACCACCGATTTTAAAAAATGTTATCTTTATATTCATGTTAGGGCCGTGCCGATGGCCACATTTGACCGGTAGACTGATGGCGCATTTTGAACTCGTACCCATTGACCGGTGCCGGAGCCGATGATGATTTATACTCTACAGGTTGCGAAAGTAACGTGAAATCGCATACGAATTCAAATAGGCCTATTTGGAAGCCTTATGATACTAATCAATGAGTCTCCTGAAAACGATAGAGACCACTTTTAGACCATTCCAGCCCGTCTGTCTGCGTCCGTCATGGTTACCTATTGCTGATATGAGGGCTTACTCGCTAATGCACAGTATAAAAGGAGATGCAATTATTTCACGATCTTTACGGCTATTTTCCTTCACCAGTTCCTACAATCGGGCTGAAATACAATAAGTCCTCGATTTATGTCGTGGATGCGTTCCCGGAAAACACGACGTAAAACGAAACCTATTTTCCCCCCATGGACTAAATTATATACAGGAAGTCCTCGATTTACGACGCCACATCGGAACGACGCAACGTTTATGTTAGCGACGTTATATCGAAACGACGTAAATCGAGGACTCCTCGCATAATCTGATCGATACTTTTTTCTGGGAGAGGACGGCGGCGAAGGCTTTCAGCGAGACAGGCGGGCCCGGCAACAAACCGCGCTCACACTCACGTAGTTTTTTTTTTTTGCATTTTGCCCTCTTTCAGGCTTCGGCATCGACAGCTTCCAACCTTACCGTAGCCATGGCGTCAATGGTGCAACACCAGAGGCGAATCTCTGTGGTTGTCAATACGTCGGTGCAGCCCTAATTTATCAAAAATATTAATAGTCAATTTATATTTGAATATTTATAGTATAATGCATTACATAAATATATTTGTAGATAAAAACTTCTGTAATATAATAAATATGATTGATTGCTTAGAAATTTTCCCGAAAAGCAGTTGCTCGCATTTCATCTTCATAGCAAATTACCTGATGTGTTAACAATTTGTCAGTCATGTCTGTCTGGGTGTCCATTAGAGGTATGAAGGAGGGAACTTTGACATTCTTGACATTTTCTGAACTGAGTGCTACTTTGAAAGAAAAAAAGAATTGCTATTCCACCTTATTGCAAGTTCTAGGATGGAACATAGGAAATAAAATGCCTGATGCAAATCCAATGTAACATTTAAACAATCCACATTGAGGAGCCTGGCTTCAGCATGAAGAAAACATTTCCTCTCACTATTGGAGAAATGGCAAAAGCATGAGGTGCACCACTGGTGCACCTCAAGCTTTCCCCATTAGACTTGGCCCCAAATAAAACTTAAAAGTGGAGGGGTTAATGCCTGAGGGTGGATTTTTGAACAGAGAACAATCTGATAATGCAGCTTTATTCTGGGGAAAACACATATTTCCTGAAATAAAGCAGCATTATCAGATAGTTCACTGTTCAAAATCTACCCTGTGTGCGCAAATATAAATGTATATATAGATATCGGTATCGGTTCTTTTCCAATATCGGAATTATCGGTATATCAGATATCGGCCAAAATTCAATATCGTTGCATCTCTAAATAAAATATTGAATTCTGCTACACATAACATTAAACAATGAAGACTGTCATTGAACACCAATTTATGTTTAGATTGAAATTTCACTATGGATTCTGAGTTGAAAGATAACACACAGAAGCCAACAAGTTTTCCCTCTCCATGGGAAGGATGCCTTGGCAGCATCCTCTCTTGGATACTAAGAATGTTGATAGGGTAACAATTTTTAGAGTTCAAATTTATAATATTCAATCACACGAATGAAAGAAGGGGATCCATTCCCATTGCAGGACTTGTACACTACATTCATCTCTGAACAAAAAAAACTCAATCTTCAACCCTCAAAGAGTCCTCAAGGGATGATGTCTTCCAGCAAAAAGTCCACAGAAACACAAACATCTGGGGTTTTGACACAGGGAAACTCTGCTTACAGTACAAAAGAAAGATCCATCATTCATGAATATCACATTTTGAGAACTTGGACTGGTATCACAGTCACACTTTTGACAATGCAGTCTGAACTCATAAGCCTTCTGCTCCATGGTCCTATCCAATGATAGTTCAACAGAAGTAATTCAAGAGCTGGTTACACCTTATACAATATGGAATTCAGACTTGAATAACAAGTTCTCAATGCAACGCTGAAATGGATCTTAATGCTCTCCCACAGAAGAATCAAGACTTACCACTGGATTCAGAATCACCGGAGAGGATAATACAGGGGTCCATAGTAATATTGGATCTTCCTGATCCTTGGCATGTCACAGATGTTGCAAAGAGTAAAGGGCAAGGAGCATTTGAACACTCAGCATCACAGTTAAACAGAAGTTCCCTGGTGCCTCCCCAGCATTCAGGTTGACCGCTGTCTCATTGAGGCAACACCATAGATCTGAGGTGAACCAATTGGATAATACTTTCCTCGTGGTGGCGTAGGAGTCGGGGATGGGTGACCTGAGACACTTGTGTTTGATAAGGCTGGAGTTGCAGGCTGAGTCACAGCCATGTTCAGCATGGAGGAAAGGCTCTGTTTCACAGCTCTCAGCCCCGCATGCACAATAAATACATACCCAAAATATAAGCAAAGGAATGAGGCAGTCACAGAAACCAATGGCCATAACCAATCAGAAATAGAAGTGAGAGCATGACGGAGATAGGAGGTAGGGGATGTGAGGGCATCAGAAAATGTGAATTCACCACGTGCAGCACAACGCATCACAGAGCCACGGTCCCCAATGACACGGATGCGCACAGGGACAGTCACCTTTTGACCTGACTCTGTTGATTGGATGATGACTGACAATGGGGCATCTTCTTCACCAGTGCCAATCCAATATTGGTGCTTGAGGTGGATGGGGAGAACATGGATGCCAGAAGATGAAGGCGTGAGGGCATGTGACTCCAGATATGTACTGGGGGTCACTGTCACCTGAAAGGAACATAACAGCATTCTAGTTAATAAAGGACCCAAATTGACTACAACCTGAGGGAAGCAAAACTAATGCCTTACATGCAATAAAGGTAAATGTCAAGGTATGCACTCAAAGAAAAAGGGAAATTTAATGAGATGTTCCACAAAGTCTGGATGAGAAACGAACCTTCAATTGTTTTACAACCAATCCAGTCCCTGTGATGTTGATGAAGCCAAGTGGTTGCTGATTGCTGAGAATGAGCTCATCCGTGTCAACAAGAAAATGAGGAATAAACACCACACTCACTATATTTGATTTCAATTCCCTCTGTCCTTTGTGTGCCTTCATGATAGCTTCAAACTCCACATGGGTTTGAAGCTGTGTTGCTTCTCGAGAAAGGTTAGTCTTAGGCATGACCTGGCACTTGTAAGAGCCAATCCCTGGATCAAACTCTGGGTATAGCAAAAATATGTCTTGAAAGTCCAATGGACTCAGAGGGGTGAACCGAGCCAAGCATGTAAAGGGAATGACAGGGGAGAAGGACTTCAAGTCTTCACAATGGTCCCCAATGATGTTTACATGTCCCAGATCCACCAAAATCTCAAATGGCTTCTGCGTTGTCAAGATTTGCACAGGCTGAGACAGTCTAATGTCAACAACAGGTGTGACAGTGACATGGGTTGTTGTGAGTGCCACTGCACTGATGTGATAAGAGACAACAGTTGAACCAGGAAGCATGGCCTGTGCCATCCCACTCTTCTTATCTATGGTCAAGATGTTTGTGTTGTCAGAACTCCAATGTTCACCATGATTCACATTAATGACCAAGGGAGAGGAGAAGCAGACAATGTCACCAACAGAGAGCATGGCATGAGAAGGGGTGATGGCAGAGCGGGATGATACATGGATGTAATCTCCTTTTGAAGGATTCTTACGATCCCATACCTTCAACACCGTCTCTCCTTTACCTGGCAAATATAACATAAGGGGCATTCTGAATTCAGCTATTTGCAACATTTAACCGGTTTGAGCTTCAAGTCACAGCTGAGAATACATTATTGTGATACAAGTGAATATGGCATTTATACAAAGTATGGGTAAAGTACAGAAACTGCACAAGTTCTCAGGAAGTTTTCCATACAGCAATACCTCTAGCTCACATTACCAATATCTAAGTCAAAACTGGAACACGAGAAAGCCTACTTGATATATGGTATTAGGGGGAAATGCAATGTCTACGGAGTTCATGAATGAAATGTGAAAATAAATTAGAGAATTATCAAACATAATACATCCATTCCCAATTTTTTTTACAATATAAATTGACTAATAAATTAATTGGAACAACTCAAGTTGAGCAGAGGGGAATGGCAGTTGGAGAGGAAATGAAGGAAAAGATAAAGTTCATAGAAAAACATGCAACAAAAGTGGGAATATGCATAGCATTTTTTTGAAAGCTTGCACTACTCAGAGTTAACTTCCTATTAATCATTTCTGAAGGGCTAAGCACAGATTCGTTCATACTGATCTTTTAACAACCCATATATAGGATTGTACTATGGAGATAGTGAATGGAATGATGATAAGAATATTAATTATACCTCGTGCCTGAACCTGGAAGCTCTGATTCGAATGACCAGGTGAGATCTGAATGAGGTCATATCGAGAGGGCTGAATCCCCAGTTGAACATTGGTTGCATGGAATATATCTCCAACATGATCATGAAACTCTACATGAAACTCCATAGTGATGCCCAAGGGGATATAATCCAACACATCTTTTTCTCCCACAGCCAACACAGTCAAGGACTTTACCTGCAAAGGACATGTCCTCCATGAAGACCAGGAAGGTCACAACATTGAAACTTCATGGATCAACTCACTTGAAGGTAGCTGTAAGGTTTCACCTTCACCAAAGCAACTGTAGCCTGGTGAAACCCAAACTCCTCTTCTGATGACACATTTATGTGAAATTCTCCAGACGATGCACCTGTTGCGAGGAGGCCATTTTCTGATAATGACACCTCAGGTGGCAGTTGATCAGTAGCAATGTGAAATGTAGTGGAGACCCGGTTTGCATGGAGTTGAGTCTCAGTGTTGGGCGTGATGAGAATGTTTGCTCCAGGTGACATTGGAGGAGTGAGAAGGAGTTCCTCAAAGACTGTTAGTTGAATGTAGTCTTCCAAAGCAATATTATTCAGAGTCTGTAAATGAAAAATCAGGTGAGGGGCAGGATATATGAATAATACAGGGTAGCACAAAATAATGTATATGCTAATGCATATTGAATTTAGAAGTATACTATATTTTCAATCCTCCTTAATTAAAAAACACAAATTATTTCACATAATAAATCTCTTATACACTGATCAACAAACTTTGCTCATAATTCAGCACTAATAATTGCATGTGTTAGCATTGCAACCTGTTGCCATAATATGACTCAGCTGTCTGACTTGCTACTGGCTGCTCTGTCCTTTCTGCATATAGAGAGGAGTCTAGGGGGACTACACATCACTTCCAATAACCCTTTGCAGTCCATTTTTTTTAGAATGTTAATACCAATGGCCCACCCAGTGAGACAAAGGAATGCAAAGGGTTCATGTATATGTTCATTTGTGCCACCCAATTGAACTACAATGTGCCTCAAGAAAAAGGACAGTTAAAATTTTTTTCTAGAATCTTTCCATCCAATTTAATGCAACTCTCTTTTTTTTTTGCATATAACATCTCAGTTTCAGCCAAATTTGAAAAAATTCCATCCTGAGCTTCGAACACAACAACCTCTCAAAGTTAGAGCAATGAAAATCACTGTGAACAAGCAATCTGCATGCTGTGCCTTGCCAGGTATGTAACTTTGATGGGCCCAAACAAGGCTGAGAGGGAAAGCAAGAGGCAGACTCAAAAACAAAATGGATTATTAAAAATAAGTCTCTTGCATATACAAGGATGATTTAAGTGAAATCTGGACTTTCCATACCACATAATGACAGTAGTTCTGACTGGTTCAAAATTTATTTGTTGTGCCACTATCTCAGATGCAATTTTACATGATGCATCAAGGATGGCATCCACCTGTATCAGTGTGAAAATGGACAGCATGCTGTCTTGGTGTACAAGAGTGATTAAGAAGCTCTAAGCACGAGGCATCTCCATTTGCAATGCACCATTCTTACTCTTCTCATAAGAAGATAGATGTATTTGGTGGTGACTGACATCATTTCTCCTAATTGTTGATTTAAGATAGCATCTATGAATTCTTTTAATGTGCTACCAAGGGGTTGGCTGAAGAGGTATTAAAATTGAGACAAAGGCTGTGATTAATTTTCTAACCTCTAAGGAGTCACTCTCCCAGCAGATCTTTCAGCAGCTCAGAGGATAGAGTCCTACTTCCCTTCTATGAACCTCTTCATCCATGAATCTCCAATGAATCAACCCTATGAAAGATCTGCTTGTAGATTGACTCCTTAGAGCAGGGGTGTGCAACCTTTATCAGCAGTGGGCTGCATGGAAATGAGTGACCTTTTAACATGGGTCACAGAATGCAAAGGAAAAGCCTCCCCTCTTTTGTTCTCAGGGCATGTGAGGGCATAAGGTTGCACTGATTGGCCAATGATCCTTACCTCCTCCCCACCCCTAGGAAATTCCAACAGCCTTTGGCATTGAGAACCTTTTTCCTTGGGACATACAGTATGTAGCACTGCCTCTGTGAGGAAAAATTAGAAGGAAGTGAAGGACTCAGTCTATCTCTTGGTACTAAAGGATGACCAAAGTTGTGATGGGCCTTTGGCCACAAAGAAACTTATCTGTTATCCCATTATGCATTACTGGGTCACACATCCCTACCTTAGAGGTTAGACAATTCACAGCATTCATCTCAATTTTACCCTTTTGGGGTACACTCCCAAGCTATTTTGTGTTGGCCTCACAATGAAGGACAGAAAAAACTTGGATGCCAGTGCTGACACATTCAAAATACTCTGACCCCAAAGGGTTAATACCCCTTCAGCAGACCCACTGGTGGCACATTGAAAAAAATTCCTAGATGCTATCTTTAATCAACAAATAAGATGAAATGTTGGCAGTCACCATCAAAGATATTTGTCTTCTCATGAGAAGAGTAAGAATGGTGTACTGCAACTGGATGTGCCTTGGGCTTAGAACTTTTCCATCAAGCGAAGGAAGATATGAATATATGAATATATGGTATAGCGAAGGAAGATATGAAACACATGCTGAAATTCACTTCAGACTTGCTGATGAGTATGAAGATACTATTCCATCATGATGAAGTTCAAATGAGAGATGTTCAAGATTTCATGAGGGGAGAAAGTGCATGAGTAGTGGTGAGTATTCTGGCCAGCCACCTTCTGCTGTGGTTTTGGACAATGTCTGGTTTTGGGCAATTTCATATTCATGATGCACCAAAATTTTGTTCTGAACCATTTTTCTTGTTTCTGCTAAATTTCTCTACCTTAATGCACTTACCTCTGAAATTTTACTTCCACTCATGATACTTTTCCCCATGTGAGCACTCATCATAAGCAACCTGTGAGTGTAGTATAAGTGGCATGGTTCCTCTATGACATGTTCTGGGTGTGCCACATGTTCAAGGAGTTAAATTAATGGATACCAATTTACAAGACTAAGTTCTGATATTCTTCATTGAATCCTTTGTTTTTACTATGAAAAATCATAATTCATAATATGACAAAAAAATACAAGAAAGAAGGCCACCATTTATTAAAATGCATAGTTACCAAATATTGGTTAATTTAATTCAGAGTCACTATTGCTAAGGCTCAAGAGGAGTCACTTAGCACTTCACAACTTGACCAAATACATGACTCAACAAGCTGTGACTTATCAAGGAGGGGCAATGTATTAAAAATTCAACCAGAAGGCAGTGGCCATGTTACCAAGAGAGCAGATATATATGACCTGAAAACCATCCAAATTAGACCCAAAAATGATTAAATAAGACCAAGAATGACACATTTCAATGAAAATGAACCAAGCCAATAAATCTTAGAATTGTGAGGCTAGTAAGAAAAAGTTCATGAAACAGAAGAGAGAGAGGATCTCAGAAGGGTGATTGAAAAATTTAGGGACACAAAGTTACCAAAATCTCTGAAGGAAACTATGCTCAAAAGTTTAATTTTACACATGATCTATGACTTAACAATAGTGGTGTAATTTTCTTCTACCTATTGGTGTCATATTTCAGGAATCTATCTAGCACATGTAGATGCTTGAGCAAGGAAGCAAAAAAAATACGTCCTGATGGTTTCAGATTTTCGAAGAACATACATAGAATTCTCAGCTGACTGAGTAAATTTTCACCCTCCTAATTATATATGCAAAACAGCAAAAAATCAATGTATTTGGGGAAACAGTTAAAAAAACGCCATGACCATTCCCTAAAGAGGCATTTTAAGTATCACAGACAAAGAAATTACTTATGAAGGTACAAAATCAGCTAAGTTATGACATCTCAAAGGTTACTACCCATGATGAAAAGCATTAACTAAGAAAACCCAAAGAAAAAGTGAAAGTCTCATTCTACTTGTAGATTTTGATGTCTAATGAGCATCTGCCTCGTACAAATTACCCTCAGGATCCTCACATTTGCCATGAAAACCTTTAACCAACGGTCGCAACGCTTTTCGGCATTTTTTTATTGGCTCCGATGACTTTTTGGCTAAGTGGTACAAACAGCGAAGATCAGTCTTTGGCACTTTCCCCTGTAAATCACCCATGAGGCACTCCCAGTTGCTAAAATAGCCTCAAAGCAATATAGCCATCTTTGAAGTGACTGATAGCTGAGTAGTAGTGCAAAAGCATGATAATTCAGAGAAAAATTAACTCTGAATGGAAAATTAGCAAGATTTTGTTGGACAGACGATTGTGCAACAACGAAAGTGAATCAGGCTCACTGAACCGTACTAGCTGAACACCACTTGTAACAGGAGCTGTCATTGGGTGATTGCAAATGATCCTATAGTCTCCTATAAATTTTCATACGTACGTTTTTTGTGAAAATCTAAAATATATATAGACGATCGTGACTGACTGACGCTAATTCTAACCATGTTCTAGAGAAGTTAGAAATCTGAAACTTGGTACATATGTACCTTTTGGGATGCTGAGGTAAAAAAATCCAACTTTGGAGGTACATGGCCTGGGGGCACCCATTTTGGGTGGAGATGTTTTCAATTATATATATTCAGTCTTCATTATTCATGTTTCAGTCAAACGGAGAGATATGTAAAGCTGAAACTTGGCATGGATGTGCCTACTGAGACACAAATTTCAGGAAAAATGTCAAGTTTCAGATGCATGCCCTGGGGGCATACTTTTGGAGGGTGACATTTTAAAATAATTTTTTTTTGTCCTAGCGAATTGGCCAGAGATAAAAAGGTGAAACTTGATACATAAGTAACATTTGAGAATCTGAATTCAGAAAAAAATCAGGCTTTGGAGGTAAATGCCCTGGGGGCACAAATTTCAGGGGGAGATATAAAAAAAAATTTTCTTGCTTCAGTCAAACGGATAAACATGGAAAGCTGAAAATTGATATTTAACTGCCTACTATGACTCTGAGAGTTCAGGAAAAATGTCAAGTTTTGGATACGTGCCCTGGGGGCATATATTTTGGGGGTGATGTTCTCAAATAATTTTATTTGTCCATTTAATTGTACAGAGATGGAAATGTGAAACTTGGCACAGCAACAACAGAGATGATGGTGAGTTCAGAAAAAATTCCAGTTTTGTGGCGCATACCACCAGGGCACAGCTTTCGGCTGTGTTGGCTTTTCCAAATATATTTTTTGCACCAGCAAAAAGAACTAATGGATAAGGCTGAAACTTTGTATGCCTGTAGTGTTTTGAGTTCTGATTTCAGTAAAAATGTTAATTTTTTGGTAAAATCCTTGAGGGCATATTTCTTGCAAAAGGTGCTTTTTTGGAAACTTCTCTGATTCAATGAAGGAAAGAACTAAGGAAAGTTGAAGCTTGGAGCCGAAGTACCAGTTCGTTGCTGCGTACATGCCCTACTTTTCAAATATGCCCCCTCAGGTAATAGCGAGTTTGTTTGCCCTTCAGGCAAACAAACTCTAGCTAGTATTCTATACAGATGGATGTATCCAAGGGCCAAAGTCATTGCTAGGGAGATGTTCTTGATGATCATCGCAATTAACCATTTTAGCAAAAATAGAGAATATTTTTCCTCATTTTTTGACTGCACATCGATAAAGCAGAGAAAATACCTGAACCAAATTTTGGGAAAACGATACTTTAGATGAAAACTGACTTTTCAATGGGATTATGCTACCTTAAGAGGGCTCTTTTTTCAGGCAAAATGTGGGGAATTCCCTGTAATGAACTTTCCTTATAACACAACTTTTTAGCCTGTCCCTTCAAGTTCATTATATCGAGTGTTGACTGTAGTTGAAAAAACATCATGACAATGTGGCATCGAACTTTAGAACCTGACAACAACCACTACTTACTTGCTGTTCAGAAGGATCTAGTGCTGCCAGCACAGGATGGATGGAAACCCTGAGCATAACTTGCCCTGTCTTTTGAGCTCGTAAACGAAGGGAAAACATGTTCAATGTTCCTTCAAGAATGTTACTGGTTCCTAGAGGGCCCTCAGTAGAGATGATTTCAGGATTGCTGATGGACCATGAGATGTGTAGGAAGGGGATGGCTGAACCAAAGCTGAATGGGTTCTCATGCTGGTTCATTCCAAAAATGCTTGCTGGCATCACTGACCCTGCTCAGAGAATGATAAAAATGACTGGACAAATAATGTCACCCTGAAGTAATATTACATGATGTATAATGGAGTGATCATGGCCACAACTAGAGATGGGGCAATCACTTGACAGGTCAATTGGTTAATTTTTAAATTGACTGGTATGAAGAACTCACTTTTTAATTCAAGAATTAAAAAAATTCCAAGATACTCAAAATTTGAATAATTCATTCTTGAGCACTTGAGCCAATGGGCCTTTTCCATTTCCAAATGGAAAAAAAAAGGGACAGACTGATTGCAATATTGGGCATTTCCCCATAGTACCCATGGGAATGCCAGATAATTGTATTTTGAAGGAGGGCTTGGGGAAATACACCAATCATTGCAGAATCACTCTCCCAGCATACTTGGTTAGGTCTATGCCACTATGCTAAAATGGAAAGTTCATGCCATAATTGGAGAAGACATCCAAGAGGAGCAGTGCAAATTTTGTGAAGGGCACAGCACCATAGACCAGCTTTTCACTCTGGCATATTCCCATTGTCTCTTGAGAATCTGGTATAAAGAGGCTTACATGTTTTGTGGATCTTGAAATGACATATGACTGAGTACTTTGAGGAAAGACATGAAGAATGCTGCTGAAGTAAATGGTCAGTTACTGTGGGTTACTCAATCCTTGTACAGCAATTGCAGGAGCTGCATTTGAGTACATGGGATGAGTTCATACTCATTCCCAGTATGTCAGGCTTTTGCCATGCCAGGGCTTTGTCAGGGTTGTGTTCTCTCCTTTCCAGTTCCTCCTGTACATGGATAGGATCTATCTGTGGGTGAAGGCTGGTCGGAGTTAGCATCTGTGGTACTGAGGCAATGATTTTTCTCTTTACCAATCAGCTCAACAGGAGCTTCATAGTGTGCTAGGCTGATTCAACTTGTAATGAAGTAATGTGAAAACCAATTTTCAATCGCTTTCCCTTTCTTCAACCCCCCCCCCCCCCCTCCAGCCTCTCTACGGGACTCACTAACGTAAGGCTTAGGCTTAACCAACAGACTGCCTTCAGATCACGTCAAGGCCTACCTTTTCCTTTTCAAAAGAAACTCAATTCTCGACTTACGGCGCCAATTAGGCCTATAAGGGTGAATCGTGGTCTTCGAGACATCTGGTTAAGGACGTGTAACGTTAGGCCAATCGCAGGCCTATTCATACGTTCATGAACCATTTCAGAGTGGACGTGTAACGTTAGACCGATTGGAGGACTGTTTCGCGTTTCATGAACCATTTCAGTGCGGACTTTGAACGTTAGGCCCATCATGAGTTCCTCGAACCATCTCGAATAGGTCTGAGGAGAGAATACCCTCAAGCAGCATGGAATCCATTGTACGCGCCATCCTGTTAATTCAGGATGTCCGAATAAGATATCAGCATATCCCACCACATCGATCAATAACAGCTAACCACCGCTTCATTCTCAACTCATCTCATGAAATCAGCATAAACATGTCTCATGCATTAAAAAATAGAAGATCCAGACGCCAATACGAAGGTTGAAACAGTCTTGAATCTGGCATAATTTCGGCATGGTATCCGGCAACACTGGGGGACGGTGCCGAAGCAAGCTCTCTAAGCCTAATTGAACGACAACTAATTTCATTTTTTATGGCGAAATGGAGCATCGCAAACAGCAAAAAAGCCAATTTTCGTCATCTACGAGTTAATATCTTTCTTATGGTTGGTCTCTTTCTTCCGAAAACCTCCCAGGAGTGCCTAGCCAGAGGGGGGAGAAAAAAAAAAAAACGGAATGAATTTGGCATCTTCAAAAAGGGAGATTCAGTTTTCTTCACAATCCGGGGGAGATAGAACTTCAAATTTGCTGGAGCGATTCTGTGTTGAGATGGGAAGAAGTCTGCCCAATTTCGTACCTGTAGATCCTCTCAGAGAGGAATACGAGGAGGTTGGATTTTGTGACGGGAAGGGGTTGAAGAAAGGGAATAGGCGCTACCGCGCCTATTGATGTATTGCAGGAATGAAATTGAGTGTTAAAATACAGGTTATGGTTCTCTAGGGCAGTCTGTACAAAGCACCCTGCATATTAGAGGGACCTCACTGGAATATGTGGAGAATTCCTATGCATTCTGCACACTGCTTCATACCAGGCATGTCACTTTGGAAGACTCTAACATGACTGAGTGCTGGCAGCAGGCTGTTTGAAAGGAGATATTGACGTTGAGATCTCCTATCTCATCCACTAAATTTAAAATTGAAATGAAAACAAAAATTTCAAGGACAAGGTCCCCTTCCTCAAATTTTTCTGATAGTGAATGAAAAGATGTCAGAAAGAGAAACAACATAAAGGATGTCAAATTTAAAAGGGAGAAAAAAAGAACACAATGAAATATGAGCAGACTGTGAGAAATATGAAATATTCAAGGGTGATCTTAAAATGAAGGCAAGTAATAAAAAGAATTAAGGTCACCAAGCAAGAGTATGATAGAGCAAGAAAGAAATGATGGGCATGATGTGGGGAAAGGGAAGGGAGGGAAGGAAAGAAGATATGGGGACTAAGCTATATTTCTGAGTTGATGGCAAGCTTCCATTTTTCAATTCAGAATTTCTCCTGTCTTTTGCAACAGAGAGTGCCAGAAATTTAAATATGGACTATTGGCAAGAATAAGATCTTCAGGGTGATCAGTGGTGTGTGTTGATTCCAGTTAAGTTAGTCATAATGAATATAGTCTTTAACATGATCACTAAAAGGGTTACAATTGCATATTGATTTTACAAGTAATTAAATGAATGACATTGGGGTTAGAACAGTTCAGCAAGGTGAAAAATAAGAAGTCACAAACCAGTTTTGATGGCTGTGATGGGGACCTTAATCTTGACACCTGTCAGTTTCACAACATGAACTTCGATAGAATCCTGGGAGTACATTATAGAAGCCTCTGAACCAACTGAGAAACCATGGACTCGGGTGACACCTTCTTTCAACCCTGTGATTATGCCCGATTCAGAGATCGTTGACACAGTTGCATTCTCTACTTGATACACAATCGACTGGCTTGGCTGGGGACCGCCTTTCACTTGCACCTGAAGTCACATAATGGTGGTAATCACTCAAAACAATTGTAGACATTCTCCTTTAAATCTGTCAGCACATATTTGACTGTGTCCAGCCTTACAGACAGCACAGCTTGAACATGTACTGAGGATCTAATCTCCCTGGTGATTATACTCCTGAAAGCAAACAGTCTGCTCCACAGGAGTGATCAAAACCAGGATCATAATTTCTAACTGCATCTTCCACATGATACAATTTACTCCAATTTCAATTACAACTATTCTTTTGGAATAACTATTACAAGTAGGGATGTAATGATATATTGGTATTGGTATGGGCTTCAATAATAGCCCAAAGGGCAATGCAGACCTATTGATTAAAAAGTTTGGGAACTCCTGCTTCTGTATCTCCATAATGAATAAAGCCTTTAGTTACCACAACTTGGAAATGGGAGGAGTGTCTAATTCATACTCTCTAAACAACAGTTGCGACTATGGTTGCAACCCTCTCCTGAGTTGGGGTTTTGATTTCAGTCACCTTGCACCCTAGACATGAGAGGCAAATGTTTCATTTCTGTCATATGCTGTTTTTCCTTCTGTACTCTTTCTCTTGGCCAACAACATTCCATAACCTCATAATGCCTACAGGTCACACTTGTGATCCATCAATTTTCATTTTTAATAAAGGTAGCAGTAACTACAATTTCTCTTGCTAGCAAATTATCAGATAGCAATATCATTACTGATATTAAAAATTACTAAAGAGACAATGACCCTTAATTATAGTTACTATAAAAAGAAGCCAAACAAAATGCAGATTATCTGACAACCACCTCCAAGACAGCAGACTTTGAAAAGATGATGCTTGGGCACTAAGAGGTCAAGAAGCATTGAATAAGTTCAATATATGCCATTCTGTCTGAATAATTAGGAACTGCTGCTTTAAAATATATATATTTTTCAGCCTGTGCACAGGATTAGAACAAATTTGCTAATGAGTGCTCAATAAGTGGGCTTGGAAGTTTGCAGTGCAATACACTAACCCTTTCTAAAATAAAAGTTAGTAATGATGCATTTGCTGATGGAACAAAATAACTGACTTGCAAAGCTGCACCATGTATGAGTGTGATGTTTTTTGGGAATAGTTGGAGTGGACTGAAGACTTGAATGATGACAGGTGCACTACTGACCAAGTGTATACCATCTCCACCCCTGATCACTATGGAACTCTCTCCCACCTGAGTACCCAGGATCACAAACTCTGCATCGCTGTCTATGCTCTTGGTGGTAGAATCTTGCTCCATGGAGAGGATAGTTGAATCATCAACTGAAGAGTGAAGGGTTAGAAGTGACACTGCTTGGGGGGGCAGGCGCTCATTAAGAGAGTTGTACATGCGCACTCTAGCTCGAATTCGCTGCCCTCGTTCCACCTGTACCACATAAGAATTATTACTATGTCACATGACTAAAATGCAAGCAAGAATCCTGCATCATATCTCAATACCTTTTTTTTTTTAATATAGCAACATGCTGAATCCAATATCATGACTACTTGCTTTTAATAGTCTAAATTGACAACGTCTACTGATAAAACATGACAATCTTGGGCCTTAGCAAGATACTAAAGCACCTGAGAGCATGCTTTTATTAATTTGTATAGTCCATCCTGTAGTTACACTGGCTAATCCAAAATATAACCCTTTAACTGTTGAGTTTTAATATGGATTCTGAAATGCTTTTGTCAGGTTTTGTCATTTTAAATGATTTTTTCCAGAACAGAAAAACATTTTAAATAATATGTTCATAAGAATATTATATTTTGATTCTACAGACAAAACTAAGACCACTTCCCAGAAATAAATGGTGTGCATGAGAACAGAGCACAATAGCGTTCACCTGAGTATACTTGAGTGCAAGAGTCAAAGGGTTAAATAGTTGACACATGCAAAACAGTGAAAAACATGATCTCTCATGTTTTCACAAATCATCAAAGACTTCAGAGACAGAAATAAATGTGAAGGTAGCATTTAAAAAATTAACCTAGTCAAGTAATTTTCTCACAAGTAGTACTGATGTTTTTTGGATGATAGTATATTACATCAGCAAGATAAAACCAAAGCCTCGAAGTTCATATTAATAAATACACACAGTACATATCAATCAAAACACAACTCATTTGGACTAAATCATGATTGGAATTTTCAATGGACCTAGGCCTATTTGTTGATAATTTTCAAGTTCTTTTTTATTCTGGAACAAGAAAAGGATAAAACAATTAGGAGGGAGAAATTACTCAAAGAGTGTAGGTCACATGAGAATGGAATCACGAAAAGGAAACTGACCTTACGAAGAACATCCACTTCAATCTTCCCCAAACCAGAAACCAGAACTTCAGCCTGTCCAGAGAAATCAGACACAATGCAAAGATCTACAAGGCTAAGGAGAACCTGTCCATCTTGAAGAGGCTGCAGGACAACACTCCGATTGTTCCTATGATACATGGTCTTCACAATCTGACTACTGCTCTCATGAAATTCAAAATATCCTGATCCACCTTTGACATCAAGAAAAGCAACACTGTCATGATGATTGAACATGACTAAATGTTCAGGTGAGAGCTGTGGGTGTTGGACAAGCACAAGATTCAAATTATCATGGAGTTTTATGCTGGTGTGTCGTCCACTCACTTTTGCTCCAACTTCCAATGACCCAGGAAGGCCACTTGGTATGAAAATATTGAAATTGTTTCCTGAGACTGTGATACCACTTTCATACTGTACTTCAGACAGCAGACCTTCATCCACTTCCAGCCTTCCAAGTGTTCCATTTGATAATTTCCATTCTATGGCTAAGGATGAAAAATTATCAAACTTCCTCCCTTTGGAGTCAAACATTTCAATGCCAATTATGAGTTTTTCATTGCAATTAGTAGAGACAAGACCCTTAGACACTTCAGGACAACTGCCTTTAGCATTCTTTGGTCTTGGAACTCTTGCTGTTAACTGCAATGTATGGGGAGCTCCACAGATTATTTTCACACTAGCTTCTCTATGAACTGGCATAGGAAGACTTGGAGATTTACTGTTACTGATGGTCAGCTGGAGGTCAGTCTCTCCATAGTCCAAGCACTTCACCTCATAAGCATGAAAATCGATCTCCCCATGGGCAATTTCTAATGCAGTCACCTTCACCAGTGTAGGATCATCTACACGAACAGACTTGGTGTATCCTGATGGGCTTTCAAGCCAAGGAAGGGGTCCACCTTGAAATACAACACTTCTGGATGAACCAACACTTAAAACAAGTTCTTCAGCTGGATGAACAGGCTTTAGAGGATGGAAAGCAGCAACAGAGACTGAAGCACGCAAGACCCCAAGTTCTGGGGACTGATAGAAAACATGGATGCTGCTGAAGCCTGCCACCTTTCCCTGAATGGTTGCTTGAGTGCACCCAACTTGAAAAGGACCTTTTGAAGTAGTCTCAAGCACATGAAAGTGCTTGGTATTAGTCACTTCAACCTGGTATGACAACTGTGAGCAGTTAGTAAAAAGCAGGGAATTATGGCCCCAGAAACTGATGGGAAGCTGAATTAAAGTGCCAATTTCACCTTCCACAATACATGGCTCAATTTTTAGTCCAATGGCAGGAATGATATAAACAAGCACAACTGCACTGTTATGAAGATTTCGCTGCATAGCCACTGTAATTGAAGCATTTCCTGAAGATATGGATCTCACAACACCAAAATGATTCACAACAACAACATTGGTGTTGTTTGATGACATATGGAACTGTCCATCTCCTCCCTTCACAGAGAGCTTCAGTTCATATGGAGGGTGAGACACAGGATCCCATGGCCATGCAATGAGTGGTGGGTGAACCTCTAAAGGATGGAAGACCTCAAGCTCCACAACTGAATGCAGGTGTTCAAGAAAGGACTCAGAAGTTCCATCTGGATGACGAATTCCAGTGAATGAGACTGACACAGGAGCTTTGCCAACTTCTTCAGCTCTACCATGATGGAATGTCCCATTCTCAGTGAAATGAAAAACTTGGAAATGCTTCTGAGGAAGACTTGCTTCCATGATCAGGTTCTTTGATGGATATATAAGTTTATTTTTGGCATTATAGATTTCAATGATGATGTCATATTCCTGGCCTGAGATGAGGGCCCAATTACGGTGAGGCAGACAGATGATCAACAGATATGATGCAGAGACAACAGTGATTGCTGCTGATGGCTGACGAAGCGTGGTGGGATTCTGTAGTGTTCGATACTGGAGTATGATGTCTGTTGTACCTTCCTGCAACCCAGTGGCTTCAGACTTGTCTGGATCAAGGATTGTAATGGAAGGATCCTCAACCTTCAAGTAGTATTGAGGTGAGGGAAGAGGGATTAGTGAGAGTTGCCCATGCTTCACTTGATATAGCTCATAGGATACCACTGTCTTGGGTAAGAGATAAACTATTGGTGGTTGGATCATGAAGTTGGCCACAACTGCAATACTGGCTTCCTCTGGCTCCACAGATCTATGATAAGAGCAAGAAGAGAAAAACAGTAGCATAGTATCTGGTAATTCTTGGAAATACCTCATAATTCATGTGACTTGACATTATATGCCAAGAATAATGTTACATAAATTAAATGGAACTACATAGGATACATTCTGACTTCTAACTCGATGTAATCCTTGATTTGCCACTGATCATGAAGAGTCACAATAATTCACTTTTTCTTTGACTCTTGACACAAACTGAAAAATGAGTATAAATTCAGGATGTACTAATGAAAAGGCTTGCAATACTATTTCAATGTGAAGTACCATGAAACATTGGCCTAGATATAAAATGGCATTCCAATTACAAAGCAATGAAGATTAAGAAAAGGAGAGGGTAATCATGTCAGGTGTGATCTACACTGAACCCCATGATCTACGAGCAAGTAGGCATGAATGCCATCGTCGAAAGGTAGTCAGGAATATTTTATTAATATAAATACAAAACCTAAAAATAAAAACAATACATGAAGTGCAGACACCTAAATATAGCCAGACTAAGATGGAGCCCTTGTCCAAATGTAATCTTCAGTCATATCAGGCTAGAAGCAACACCCTCAATCCACAAAAGTGGTCTTCAAGTCATTGACAAAGCCTTCAAAGGTCGCCGGACGCAGGTTCAAGCCCCGCCACCACACCTCTCTAAGGTACCAGGAGAGAAGCTGCCGAGAGGTACCTCACATGTTGCGCAGGACCTTAAGCTTCAGCTCGGACCACAGCTTCTCTGAGCTGAGTATATACACCAGTGTGAGGATCAACAAAGTTTTGTGAATGATTGAATGTCTCATGCACATAGCCCAAAGTTGTGAGGCCCCCATAGGCTGACCACTCGTCGGAGTGGATTGTTGTGCCCGGTGCCACCTCAGCAGTAATCACCGCGTGCAAAGTCTGCCAATCCCTGCATTCCACCTAAAAAAATCGGCGCTCAATGAAGCCGTTTGAGCTTCATGGCCAAACCAAAAACCCAAGGACCCTGAATCTGCCTGCCGAAATTCGTGCCCCATCAGGCAAGTTTGCAATCTCCTCATTGAGTGAACTATCTGACTCTGTACCATCATGGGTCTCCTCAGAATGGTCACCCAGCGTAAGGCGTCCCTGATGTGCCTTTCTCTTTCCTCGAAGCAGAGACTCATCTACTTGAACCACCCATTCTTTCCCTTTTTCCCCACATACGAGCTGGAACGTCTCTGCAGAGATTGTACCAATCGACCACCAAATGAGAGCCATGACCCATCATTGCCTGTGCCTGAGTCTGCGAAACATCACTGCACCACAGAAAAGCAAGAATTGCTGCAACAGACAGATTGCTGTGTGCATGTCCATGCCTATCCATGTAGGTGAAAAATGCATTTGACTTTCTCACAGATTGGAAAGTTTGACAACCTCTATGAATGCACTTAAATGTGATGTATGAAGCTGAAACACCGCCCGCCTTCCTCTTCTTGTGAATGGTTTGCTTCATGTCACTCCTGCATCGTAAACACTGAGGCGCAGCGCCCTGATCTACCAAGATTCCCTGCTCTTGCAGAAATTGAACTGCACTCTCTCCTCCGTTCTAATCAAATCATAAAACTCCCGATTCAACATCTTGAATGTCTGGCTGGTATTTTGGAACAATCAGTTACACCAATTCAGGAGGTTCGTTGAGCTGCACCACACACACAACTCTATACAGATGCTTGAAGTATAAGGGCTTCAAATGACACTGAAAACGTGAAGGCAAGGCATAGTATATACAGAGTGGCACAAAAAAAAAAGGTCCACTTTTTAAATTGGTCTAGAACAGGAACTATTGGAGCTTACCCTTACATACACTTACCCTGTTTCCAAATGTTTCTTTGCTCATTTGTTGGGTGAAACAATTGGACTAAAAGTAGGACAGGTTAAGAGAGTGATGATAAAGGCTTTCAGTGAACTGTTTGCTCCCACACTGCTGGTTCCTCCCTCCATCCTTCTTGCTGCATTGCATGCCTGCAATGAGCATGTGTGAGACAACGAGGCTGACAAGTCGTGTTAGGCATGCAACCTACACCGAGCACTGAGATTCACGGTGCTAATTTTTCGTTATCTCTTTCAAAAATTTTTTTTTTCCCCTCCCGACAGGTTGATAAAGATGGGCTTGAGTGAGAGTGATAAAATCCTCATTAAGGTGCTTCATGAGGAAAAGCAGTATTCTTTGAATCAAATCTCCGTGAATTTCCTGAGCGGCAGTGGAAAAAACCAACAGTCATTGACTTTCTAAAAAAACTCCAAGAAACTGGAAGTGAAAAGCGTTGTCCCGGCAGTGGTCATCCAAAATCAGTGAGAACTGATGAAAACATTGAAAAAGTTGGTGAACTGATCTTGAGTCAGGAAGGAAACCCTGGCTCCAGCAAAAGTGAACGAGAGGTGTCAAAAGAAACAGGAATTTCTCGTCGATCTGTTCAGCGCATAATCAAACACGACCTGGGACTCAAAGTGTTCTAACGTGTTCCAGTTCAAGAGTTGTCTGCTGCTGTCAGGCAAAAACGAGTAGCTCGGTGTAAAAAACTTTAAAACTGATTCAGAAGTATCAGAAGTGTGAAAAAAATTTGTTTTCAGATGACAAACGATTCACGGTCAAAACCCCTCGAAATTCTCAGAATGACTGTGTTCAGTTCAGAAAAAAAAAACAAGTTGAACCAGCAGACTTTTACGAAAAAGGGCTCATTTCTCTGAATCGGTCATGGTTTCCCTTGGGGCTTTGTCTGTGGGGAAAACATCGGTTTATATCATTCAAAGGGGTGTAAAAATCAATGCCAAAAATTATTGAGAACGTTCTGATGCCGATGCTCCCAGAAATTGAGGACAAAACCCCTAATTACTTGTTTATGCAAGATGGTGCCCCAGCTCACAATGCAAATGAAACTGTGACCTTTTTGATGGAAAACTGCCCTGATTTCATCGAGAAAGAAAACTAGCCTCCTAACAGCCCTGATCCCATTGATTACTTCGTTTGGTCTGCATTGGAGCAGAAAGTGTACCATGGGGTGAAAATTCAAGACGTGGCTCATCTGCAGGAACGAATCACTGCTGCTTGGGAAGAGCTGCCCCGGGATTAGATTTCCAAGGCAATTTTGATGTGGAGAGAGAGACTGCAAGCAGTGGTAGACCAGAAAGGAGGACACATTGAACATTTCTTGAATAAATAAAGGTTAGTTGAGGTGGAACAATCATTTTCTCATCATTTTACTACTTTTTTTTGGGGTATGATTTTTTCAATTGGTCATGACAACCATTCCATGGCACCCATGGACTCAAAACCATACATCTTTGGAAAGGGCTTGGATTGAACCTTCATTTGCTTTTTTTTTTTAACCTGCTAGCTTCAATAGTTCCTGTTCTCGACCAGTTTAAAAAGTGGACCGGTTTTCTTCCACCCTGTATAGTACTGTATAGTATAGTATTGCCAGGGGCTTCGCGTCTGACGATGCCCCCCAACTGATCAGCCTCGTTGCAACTAACCCCCCTCGTTTAATTCAGCTGTCTTAATTTCAGCTTTCCCATCCTAAAATCCTAAAGTGGACATGTACTATTCTACAGTATTACTGGCAAAGGGTGGACAAACGATGAATCGGAGGGCGAGATCACACGCAACATGCCATGCAGTAAGCTGTAGATCATGACAGTGCATAGATCACACCTGACATGATTACCAAGGAGAGTGTATTTGTCCATGCAGACCCTGAGCTCCAAGCATATCCAGCCCTTCTATGGCTCCTGTCTCACTCACTTCCTGCATTCTATCTCATTCCTCTTCCCCAAAAAGTATAAAAGGGGTCATCAACTCAAAAGGGGGACAGGATTCTGGACAATATTCCCAGTCTAAAGCAAGGGTAACCCAATGTTCAATTTTGTTCAGAATCCTGTAATAGCCTAATCAGTAAGTATGAAAGCCTAGTTCTGACTTGTATGCAGGGTGGGCAAGTCGAACTCGTACACGAGCAAGGCCAATGTGCACTCCTTCAATAAGGACTGTATGACCCTTCAATCCCTGGTTTTCCAAATCTTGAATATCAGGTGGAGCCTTATAAGGTGATTCTGCATAATTCAGAAATCGAAGCACAGTCCCAGCATCAATGAACTGCAACAAGACATGCATCACTCATTCATGCTAGCTGATTGAAAGAAACAAACAACAAAACTGGAGGATAGAACCTACTTCTTCTTGACTTGTGTCAGTTTCCAGAGTCCATTCAAATACAATTCCTTTCAAAGTAGAAAACTCATTGCCCTGTTGATCCAGCCCTACCACCTGAAGGATAAAAAGTTATTGTATATCAGCACACTTCACATGACAAGTATAAAAAGGTCCATCAACTCCATATCAGACTGAGATAGGATGAAGGCCTGAATTGGCTACATACCTATGCTATGCTCTTTGGTCACATAATGTCAAAAGGTTTACCTGGAAAGCTTCAGGAGCTTCTTCAAGAAAAAGTTCCTTAGTGGTTGTGATGATATGAAGAGCAAAAATTTCATCCACCACAGCACTGCAACTTAGTGTTATTTCAGTGTCTTCATCTTCTGCCATGATGATTGCTGAAGACTTGCTTGGATGCTTAGCAATTCCCGATACCTCTGCCTTGGTGGAACATTGGCGAATTGGGTCAACTTCTATTGGAATGACAGTAGCAATGTCTGGACGAGATGAAGTCCATTGATAACATCCTCCATCAACAACATTCAATGAAAAATTAGTGGGAGTTCCCAGATTGTAAGGCAACAAAACTCTTGGTGTATTGAGTTTAGCATTTTCAACACACTGGATGCACACTGAGATGCATATCAAGAAAATGAATATGCTCCGTGCTTTTCCAAAGGATGGCTGATGGTACATTGTTTTACCTCCTGCACCACCTTCCAGTAGAACCTTTACTAGAAAACAGCACAATGACAACATTTGGAATTGGTCAATATTTACTTCTTCATAGCCTAGCTAAGTCCACTGATAAAATCATAGACTATGCCAGGATGGTGCTGTAGCCACATCAGATAACTTTCAAATTAGTATCCAAAGTTGTAGGTCAATAAACTGATCACTGAAAGTGGTGCTTGCTATTATGCAAAGGTGGAAAAAGTTCTGTAACGTGGTAATCAGGTTACTGGGAAGGGTAGAGACTGATCGAGAAGGTAAGGCAGGAAGAACAAGATAAATAAATAACAGAGAAAGGCAAGGGGAAAGAAGGAAGTAATGCAAAAAAGAAAAAGCAGAAATACAAGAGACAGTCGGAGTTTTTGGAATGTGGTATGGAAATGGATTGAAAGAAGGCAAATGACAAACTGAAAGTGAATAGATCAAGCCCCAAGAGGAATTGGGAAGATATCGGCAGGACGGGAAGTTCAAGCACCAGAGCAGAATCAGGAAGATATCCTCATGTGACTGATATTGATAAGTGCAGGGACGAGGATGTAGATTTTTTCTTCCCATACTGTGCGCATAGGCAAAAAGATCTCGGTATCATGTATTTTCTCAATCCTGAAGTTGTAGGATCTCACCCTAATGAGGATGATAGAAGGTGAGAAGGCAGGACACCAATCAAATTCACCTGACTGTAAAATAGAGGCAGCCTTGTCATTGGCATGAAAAAGGGAATATAATTTTGAAAGCGAATTTTACAAGGTGAGAGAAACTGATCACTGAATTAGACATCTTGCACCTCAGAAACCCCTTCCTTTTCTTGGTTGACAGTCAGCCTCGCATCACCTGGCTTTCCCGACAGATAAATATGAATAATACCCTTCATGCTTTCTTTCAAGTGACCTCATTTGGTCTCAGGGTTGAGAGAATATATCAATTTCATCCCTTTCTCTCGATTCTGCACCTCAAGCACATGGTCCTACGCCAGACCTCTCGGTACGAAGCAATTTGTACATCTTGTCAAGTTTTAGACATCCTGTCACTGAGAGAATATCTGCAGATGTCTAGCAACAGAGTGCCCTAATTGAACCCTTAAACCCTTTGGTAAACCAAAGGACTCATAGTTCAAAACTTTTGACCTCCAATTTGGATGAATAAATAGCTAGCATTTCTCACAAAGAATGCAGCAAGCATACTAGTTGAAGTTACATACTGTTTCAAAGGTTGTTGACTGACTGAATAGACTGAAAGGGAGGTATGAAGTATGAATTCAATAAAATCTATTTTCCAGTTCAGAAATGAAATTTTTGACATTACCTTCACTTTAATAGCAAAGATTTATGTGCAACAAACATCTCACTCAACAATAATTTGTCTTACTGCATCACTGTTTCTAAAATAATAGTAAATATACGATGAAATTTATTTTCTACAATTGCTTTTATTTATGGTCCTGGACCCATCAAGTTTCCTTCCCTAAAAAAAATACACCCTGAAACTTAGCAACTTTTTACAAGAAATCTTACTTTCATACCTTCCTGGGAAATTTCTATTCCTGTAATTTTACTGATTTTTCCATCCAAGAAAATGAAAGACCATTCTGTATGTCTACATTACTACTGTAGAAGGAACAAAAGATTTCCAAGGAGCCTACAGTTTTTCTTGGAAAAAACAGGCAAATTAAAGGCTGTATTTTTTTTTGATATGGACCATGTAAACAATATTTCTCAATTTTTTTGGACCTGAAAATTGGGAGGCTGTTGGCCTCTAAAGTAGTTATGGAAGTAAACAGTTTGAGAATCACTGTCCTGTGTAAATCAAGTACCAAGTGTTGAAAAGCAGGGTAGGCCTATGCATCAGCTGACAGCATAGATATTACCAAAGGTGGGAATGTGCCTAGATGAGTGATGCATGGTTTGGTTAACCTAGGCCTGTTGGCAGGAATTCTCCCCTTGGTTATTTCACTCTCATTATAATAAAAAAAACAAGCAATGAAAACAAACATGGGGGCACAACACCAAGATCCCCAAATGGTCTGACACATGATGATATGATGCCCACTCACCAGCAATAAATAAGACATGTACAACTCATAGCAGCTTCTTAAAGGAGAACCACCATAATTAAAGGGTGTGGTGGGTAGTCGACAGATACGATGCAAGCACTCTCCAATTTGACTTGCATAAAATGATGAGAATCTCATCCTCAAGTCAATATGGAAGAGCAAGACAACTCTCCAAGGAAAAGGGGGAGGGGTGTGAGAACATGGGAGGAGTGTCAATGGGGATCCTTCGTGACGTGAACACCGAGGCAATGCCTTCTTCATCTTGTGTACATCCCCCTGTTCAGTGTACACTATGGGGTACAAATGTCATTACGTGCTTGTTGAGCTACACATCTGACATGGAACACCTGTCATTGTTGGAACCTTGAGTTTTACTTAAGTTTCTCCTACGAATCAAAACAGCCCCTCCCCAAAACCTGATTCCCTAGCAGGAGCCTGAATGTCATTTGTTGGCAAGCCGATCAGAAAAGAAGCTCTTTCAAACAGATATTACCTCTACCACGCAATCTGTAGTAATGAAGTCATCGTTCAGGCAGGCCCAGAACTCATGTCAAAGCCTTGGAGAGCAGTGGCACACCACCACCGGCCTATTGGTTTTCTGCTGGATTTCCTGGACATAGTTTATCTCAGGGTGCACATGGGAGCTGCATCAGGAAAACCAGACTTGGGGCCTATTGCTCGAGAAGCAGCTCAAAGTGGCGAATCTTCCTCCACATGACGGTTAGCGAGGTTCAGTTGGTTGAGTGTTGCCAGCCATGAGAACCTCCATTTCGAGTCACTTCTCAAGATCGAGAGATCCTGAGTCCATTTTTTCTGACGTCTCCCACGCGTACTCTGAGATGCCAGAATGAGGGGACATCTCAACTGGACATAACATAAAACATTGGGGATTAGTAGGCCTACCCGACGCATGGTGAATACAGGGGAGTAGTGCGCACAAGACGAAGTCTGCGTTGTGGGGGAATGTGCACACAGTGAGATCAGTGTTCGCATAACGTAGGATACCCGAGTCAATCCCTAGCGTCCAGAAAGACGTAAAATTGGAGGGCTTTTCCACTTTCAAAGTCAAATTGAGGGTGGCTTCCATTACTGCTTCAGTCACATTTAGGCGCATCTAGTGAATGTGCGTCTAGTGCGGGAGCACATGCGGCACACACTTAAGGCCAGCCCAGTCCCTAAGTTAAGGATTTTCGAGCTGGCGTGGACCAGTCAGTGGACTACCTAATAATTGCGTCAACCATGAGCCTCATAATGCAATAGGCCTATAACCGAGCATTTATAGGCGCAGAAAGTCGCTTAGGAGTTGCAGTTTACGTACAGTTCCCGGCAAGCACGGCGCGGAATGGGTGACACCATTGATCGAAGCGGGAGGGGATCACGGTTGTTAGACCACCGTTGTAGACTGCGATCTCTTGGCGCAACATGCCCCACTTGGAACGATGAAATCGTAAAGCGGAAAAGAGGCATTTCAGCTCAAGTGATCAAATTAATTGAACTTTTGTAGGCGCTTCAGCGCTCATGCATGGCAGCCTCTAGGAGTAATGGAAAATATCAAAATATTGCCGATCTGGCTGTAACGGTTTGCGAAATGTGTGGCCCAAAGTTTTCTCCCAAAGGGGAAAACTGACCTTTGGGGTTAAAGCTGAGGTTAAAGCTCAACCAGGACCAAAGGTTGAGCAAGGAAAGCGTTTGTGAACGCTAATGAAAGCTGAGACGATGCATGATCTGAATATTAATGCATTTTCTGGAATATTCATGATAATAAGTTTCACATAGTCAAAAATGGTAAATATTGCCAACATTTGCACGCCAATTTTGATTATTGGGAGGCGAGGTAACACGAAGAGCCTTAGAAACATTGCAAAACAAGGCAACGGCAATGAGAACAGCAAAATTTCAACTTCCTATTCAGTTTGAAACAAATGGAAATTAAATTTGAAAAGTCAAATTTCTCCGATTTCCACCTAATTTCACGCTCGTATTTTCTGTTTCAAGATACAACCTTGAAACAAGTCCGATCAGAAAGCTGTCCCCAACCTCTTTCTAATGATATACTACTCATGCTGTTGACGCGTCTGTGTGTTGTATTGAAATTGTCAACTGGCCAAAATTCCTAATTAAAAATATGACTCAAACAACCAGCAATCGGAATCATATTGAAACAATTAGGCCAATGGCGTAGCAACCGCCCAATCATCGACCGCAGTTGCGGGGGGGGGGGGGGCAGGACCAGTGGAGGCCCAAAATTCCCATCAAACATGCGAAATTTTTCCTAATGTAAACAAATATATACAAAAATATATAATAAAATTCTGGAAGTAAATGATCGTCGCTCATGGGGAAGCCCTGGCTGATTCCAGCCAGGGCCAACCCTGTCAATACTGTCCCAAATAGCAAATAGGTGGTGGGCCACCAACTACGTTTGGGGAAGAGAGTTGGTGGCCCATCATCTTGACTAAGTTGTGGGCCACCAGCCCCATGTCCCACTTGCCACCTTCCGGCCGCTTAAGGGCCAGCACATTTCCAGTTAGCTCGTTTGTGGTGGACCACCAGCTGGGAAGGGTCCTACCCAGGTAACACAGAACATTGAATCAGCATTGATTGGATGTGGATTGAGTGTGCGAATGTTGAGGGTTGAAGGTGAACATTGTTTCAATGTTGATAGAATGTTGTCACATCACATTGTGGATTCCAATTGGGGAATATTCGGATTACATTTCTTAGATGCGGCATCATTTTTAACCCCTCTTAAAATGATGAAGATTTGGACCTCTCCAATAGGTTTTCGGAGTACTATCAACCTACCGCATCATGGTTTCAATGTTGAAAAAATGAGACTCCTCAACTATTGAGTTGCATGCCGTCTATTATCATGTATTTGAATATTGAATTTTTTTAATTTGGAAACAAATAAATAAACAATTTCCAATTATCCTATGGTCATCGCCGAGTCGTCTTGCATCCTTTTATGGACGTTATGTTGCCAGGGTAGTGTAGTCTAGGCGCGATCATAATGAAGTACCAAGAGCCCTCACTAGATGGTATCCATGTTCCCCTGTAGCCTCCTAATGCAATTACGGATCTGTCACCATCCATTAAAGTGTTTTCTTCCCACTTTCCTCTTTTTATTACGTAATTAATTAACACATATATTAGAGGAATGTGGAACTATGATGTTCTGATTGATTGCAGCATCTGATTCTGAAACAAATTAAATGTCCAGGTTTAGTGTGGGCGCATAGAAGTCTAGGTGATTAGAGACATGTAGAGCACACAGATAAGCAATCTGAAGCGATCCTTCCACAAACCCTCGAAAAGTGAAGCTGAGGGGGTTATTCCTCATTTTGCAAACTAATCAAGCGCACAGGATTTCGGTGCTGTTTGCAGAACTGAATAGGACCCATCCTCTCAAGTTTCTCAGTACTCTATGGGTACTGATCTATAGAAACTGAAGAGGTTATATTCTCTTTAGTATATATAGTTCATCATCCATAGGGCATACGATTCATTTTGATGAATTTATCTCTACTTCGATCCATGGAGGAATGTTGAATGAATGTTGCCATCAATATTGTTTCAACATTAACAAGGAATGTTGAAACAATATTGACATATTGAAAAACAATATTGTTGAAACAATGTTGACAAAAGTGACATCTTCACATATGGGGTGCAAAGTCACAAGAATCGCATGAAAATGCCATAGACACAATGGAAATGTAATGTCCATTGGAATGGACGCCAGGTCTGAAAGGGTTAATGTGCAATTTATAAACAGGTACTAGGAAATCGTGGAATTATGATGTTTTGGTTGCAATATAAGACTCGGGGGTTATTAAATGCTGAAGTTGAGTATGGGAATTCAGAAGTGTACTGGTCCACTGGACTAGGGAAGGGTAGAGAGACCGAGTTATCCCATTGGCATATTGTATATATGATGTGCCTTAGAGCTCGTAAACCTCTGCTCTTACCCCCCCCCCCCCCCCCCGGTCCTTATTGGATGCGGAACAGGAGAGCAGTGGGTCATCTTGGTACTCTTGAGTACTCTTCTTAGTAGGCTCCAGAGCCAAGACATACAGATAACTCGGACATATGGAGGCATCAGGACCCTTCCCAGCTGGTGGTACACCACAAACGAGCTAACTGGTAATGTGCTGGCCCTGAAGCGGCCCGGAAGGTGGCGGGCCAGTGCTGACAAGTGGGACATGTACCTGATGGCCATCAACCCAGGGAAGTTGGTGGGCCACCAGCTCTCTTCCCCAAATGTAGGTAGTGGGTCACAACCTGCGTGCTACTTGGGTACACCCTAGTAGCTTATAACATTGAATCAACGTTGGTTCAACGTCTGGATGTTGAATCAATGTTGCTTCAATGTTATAAGCTACTAGGGCGGAGTATGTCGGAGTATGTATAAAAGTGTCCCGAAGTTGTGATGACCCAGCCTATGGCCTAGAATGGCATCGCCTTTGGCTATGCCATTCTAGGCCATAGGCTGGGCCATTACATTTTGTGCACACTTCTAAAAGACACACCCTGTATGAACATACATAAACGTGTCGTAACTGGGTAAAAATGGGTCACTTGCAGTTAACTTTGGTGGAGAGCACCATCATTCAGTAGTTGAGCTCATCTCATCCAAAGCTATACAGACCGTAAATTACAGAACTTTTGAGTTATCCTTCCTTTGTGATTATTTGTAACTAGGCAAACAAACTCGCTATGCCCAGAGGGGATGCACCATGGAAGCTGAATGCTCCCTCAGCTTAATATCATGTCACTTATACGCCAAGTTTCACCTTTCCATTT